TGGGGACTTTTTGCTGGAGTCCCTGACACCCCAATGAACAACTTGGGCACATAAAACCTTATATATAAATTTTTTTTTCTATTTTTTCTATAATGCCCGGACTATCTACCAGATCAAAGTTATAAATATCAAAACAACTCATGGGGACTTTTTGCTAGGAGTCCCTGACACCCCAATGAACAACTTGGGCACATAAAACCTTATATATAAATTTTTTTTTCTAATCGCCGATTTTTGATCTAATATGCCTGGACTAAGAGGACAGACTCTTGGTCCAAGACCTATTTAAAAATATTTTATCTCGGGGGAAAAATTTGGAGATGACCATATAGTCCCATGTAATTTTCAGTCGAGAATTGATTGCTCCTACTTTCAAGATTTTCGGGCTGAACAATGAGAAAAATATTATGGTGAGGAATTCTAGCTTTACGGAAAAACTGAGAGAAATCAAATTTTTTTATTTATTTTTATTAAAACAAACAAAATAATAACAAGCTAGATAAAACACAAGGAATGTAACTTGAAATTTGACGGAAACTCAACTATGATTCATTAAATTAGATGTAAAACAATAATCCATTTGAAATGAAAAAAAAAACATGGTTCAAAGTACCTGATGATACTGAGCAAGAACATCTCAGTAAAATAGTGATCAGTTCGTTTATTGCACGATTGAATGAAGATACATGAAAAAGTCAAATGTTCTTTTAATGTGAAACAAATTTATTACAAGCCTTTGAGGGAAAAATTACCAACAAGACAGAAAATTGTGACATTAGTAACTCCTGATTTCAAGAATTTCATCTGAGGTGCCTGTGTTTTTCAATATCGTTCTTAGCTAGCATCTAAGTATTGATGGATTTGAACTGATTTGAAATAAAAATAAAATAAATAAAAAACATTGATACAAAAGATCAGATTTAAAGACGCTGAACCCTTGAGGCATTAAAAAACGTTGAAATTGCAGAGTTGTTAACTAAAGATTTTCTGGGGAGGCAAAGATCTGCCAACTTCCCTAGAATATAAATATACATATATGTACATATAAAAACACTTTGTAAGAATATCACATGATTTAGTTTACAGTTTAGAACAAATCAGACTTGAGAGCAAAGAAATTCAAGCTTTGTACACGATAAAATACAAAATTGCCGTTTCATGCACAGGTGCCTATTAAAAAATGAAAAATGTCAGAACTACGACTTGAGGATCATGTAAGTAAGTCTAAAAAAATTAAACATAATTTAATCTTAAAAAATTATTTATGGGGAAAAGGGAAAAACTCCTCATTCATGATAATTCAGTTGCAGGGAATGGATCAATGATGGAAATAGAAAAACGGGGATCTCAATTCCAAAATTTTACTCTCGTTTCTTTTCCAGTTAGAGGCACTTGACAAGGTACAAATTATAGCAATTCATTAAATGAAGTCTCTTCAAAATTTTAAGCAGAAAAAGATTCACACGACGGAGACTTTGGAAATTCACTCCGAAAGAAGATAAATATTTGTAAGAGTGGAACCACTATTTCTCGCTCACCCAAAAAAGCAACTATCTGCATCGGGAAGCTAAGGAAACGTATGATGTTTCCAAAATAAGCCGAAAATATTGGTTCCCTATCACAAGATGCACTTCAATTAGCATTCGTTAAATGCTAAGCGATATAAATGGCCCCATTTGAATGATCTATGTTCCATTTCCATTAAGTGTCCATGTTCATAACTTACTTAGGATTTATTTCCCAAACATCCCATTATAAAGTATTGCTTTCATTGTATCATTCTGAAAGGATTAGGTATATAACAGGGTGCTTCGATTCATACTTTTAACGCATTTTTTCAAAGGTAGAATCTCCCAAAAGTAAACAAGAGAAATTGTCGAGACCAACATTTTCCAGTCTCGATGGACCTGTAAGTTCTTAATTTACAAAAAAATATATCTACGATGGGTTCTAAACCTAAATTTGCACTCAGATTTTTTAAATCAATTTGGCAACTTTCACGAGATGTTTTTTCCCCTCTTCATAAAGAGAGCTAAAATGATCCCGATACTGAATCAGCAAGAAATACGTCCATTTGTGATGATAATAATTTCAACTGTGCACTGAAAAAGGAGCCTTGTTGCTGATTAACTCAAAACTGAAAAATTGGTAGCACTGTTCAGGGGGGCGTTTTACAATAATTTGAACAGAAAAAAATAAAGAAATAAATAAACCTGGCATTAAGTTAAAGTTATAATAGTTTGAAGTTCGGAGCTATAAAAACATGATTCTTAGAAAAAACTACTTTCATTTGCCAAGTTGAGGGCTTAAAACTGTCTGATCAGAATGTAATTTACAATTACAACAATACTGACCTAAAGCGCTAGCAACTTCCCCTCCAGGATACTACAGATTTCCGCCCAAAACTCACATTTTGATTTTGTGATCGAACGAAAGTTGCCTCCGATTTTTAAAGTCCCTTTTTGATGGACGCTCAACCTTGAAGCAATTACTATCAGAAAAGCAACTCTAGATAGACCTTATTCGTCCACCAACAGGAGATTTAGCTCATCTGAGAGTCCTTTGAGCACCATAAAATTTCAAGGGGCAAAGGGCAAACGCGTAGTAGGAGAGAACATCTTAGAGAAAGACAGTTTGAAATCGAGTTGAGCAGGTTTACACCAACAACTGATATCAAAGGGTGTATAGATATCTTTCAAGGTGAGGATAAATGCAGGTATTACTTTTTGAAGAGCTTCAATGCACTTATTTACCGTTGGATAGTGAGCTGAGTGGTGGCTGGAGTAAATCATGGTACTGTAGAAGAGCGTTGCGCAGCGAGTCGGACACTTGGGCTGAACTGGTTCCCATGCAGTCAACCAGGAAAGGATACAGACTGATAAGTTGGTCCCATACAGAGCGATTGACTGAAAAAGAAAAATAATTTGATTGACCAAAACATTAACAGTAAAAAAACACTTTAATACAGGGAGCTGGCTGGAAAACGTATGAAATAAGACCTCCTGCAGGAAGAAGGAATTTCAAGCATACTGAGGAATTTTTTAGGGGGAAATTTCCATAAGATTGGGTTGTAAATCAAAATGAAGCAGTAGACTGGAAAAAATGAAGCACCGCAAAATATGCTATCTCATCAAGATTACACGTAAATGTTGTTTCAAGAAATGCTGCAATGAAATACAACAGTAAGTTGAGAGATGGAGATGTTGCATGTGTGAGGAATTTGCGATTTGACTATTGATTCTCATGTAAAAGTTCCCGAGAAACACAATGGTGCCACTGGTTATCTCTGAAATCAACTCCCAAGCTCAAAAAAGCTCTCAAGTTGAGGCCAAAATGGAGGGGATATACCATGCTGTTCTGAGAGTCCATCTCTACATCAAGACAAACTCTCCATGTAAAGATGAGGAGCAAATACATTGACAGGGCTGCCACTTTATTTGGGGACTTTAAAACTGAAAACGCGGCAACCCTGCTAATGTATTTGCTCCCTATCTTTACATGGAGAGTTTGTCTTGATGTAGACGTGAACTCTCAGGATAGTGTGGGATATACCCTCCATTTTGGCCTCAACTTGAGAGCTGTTTTTGAGCTTGGGAGTTGATTTCAGAGAAAACCAGTGGCACCATCGTGTTTCTCGCAAACTTTTACAGAAGAATCAATAGTCAAATCGCAAATTCCTCACACATGCAACACCTCCATTGCCTGCTCTAGAGGGCTTCTCTCAAAGTTCGTCCTGCAAACTTCATAAATCTTGACTTTTTCAGGGAAAATCTTCATATTTTCATTGCTTCTGTATTGACCACTCAAACTCCTTATTTTTCCAGTGAATTCACAATTTATGTAGGGGTAAACACCCTGCATCCTCCAAAAAGGACCTTCTAATAATACAGCACTGTTAATTACATGACGAGGAGATTTTTAAACATACCTTTTTCAGGAGTTTTCTTCAAGGATACTATTAGAGTAGTTATGGCCTTGAGGACAAACGATATTTCTGACAACCTGTATCTGAAATAATTTGCAAAATAAATTAAAATTTTGGCTCATTTGAAAGATGAGAAACAAAAGCCAGCAAGTCGCTTGGACTTGGAAAAACTGAAAATAGTTTCAACTGTGCTTTCTACAGTGCCTCTAAGATTTTGATGACACAGATCAAAGATAACTAAACAATTGAAACGGGTTAGTTGTTACGATCATTTTTGTAGAGGACAATAGGTCCATTCTACTAGAAGTGATTCCTGTTCATCCAACATTGACCCAAAACATCTATATGCAGAAATTTTGAAGGAAAAACGTTATAACAGCCTAAAGCTACCATCTTGAATATCTAAGATGCTGTGTTTCCAATTTTCTGTAAAGTTTGAACGAAAGATTCCCCAATACCCCGCTTACATGCGTCTGGTTCAGATGTGGAGAGTATTAAATAAACCAATTTTACTGACACTGAGAATTTTGAAAGTCTTACGTGAAAAAATCCAGGACTCCTAACTTATGTCAGTTAGAAAAGTATACATTATTGGAAGAAAGAGAAAAGCAGAAAAGGTAAGAACAAGCAAGAAACAGGAAAAGAGAGAGAAAGTAAGAACGAAGGAGAGAAAAAAGAGATGAGGCAGAAAGAGGAAAAAGGAGACCAAGGAAAATTAAAAGAGAATTAAGAGAAGGGAAGAGGGAAGTCTTCTACTCGTCCTCTTTCTCCTCCGTATTCAAATCAGAGAAAAAATTAAATTGCTGATTCAACAATTTTGTAGTTAAAAAAAGTGACCGCAATGTTTTAATGTATTTTTTCCAACAAAAAAATGCTGCTTTAAGCACCTCTGTGGTTGAGTTAATTTTCCACTTTGGTAAAATGTACATTTGAAACATGGCAGTCACTTTTTTTACAATAGAATTGTTAAATCAGCAATCCATTTTTTTCCGTGTGCTTTCCTATCGGAAATATGTTAGGAGTTCAGAACTATTCCACATGAGTTTTTTAAAACTCGCAATGTAGTGCCATTTATTTATCATTCGATACAAATACAGATACCATAAATGTATCAAGGCAGCTGAAAATACAATTTGCTAATTTTCAAAAGGAAAATCATATTATGTGATGTTGCGAGACTAATTAATAAATTTACATCACCTGGAGAGTGGGCATTTCCCGCTACGGCTCTCATCTTGAACGTATTGTTTCAAAACTTCTTGGAATCTGAAAAGAAGAGCAGTGACAGCCAATCTTCCTGCAAGACCGTTTTCATCCTGGAGTCCTTTCAGTCCTTCAAGACCTTCTCCGTTCAGTCCGTCGAGAAGCGAGAACTGGAGAAGAGTTTCGAAGCACATCTTGGCGAATTCTTCCCGTAAATTCGACTCTGCGCCTGAGCCTGTCATTAAATCAAATAAGTTTGGAGTATTATATTATTTTAAATCTTATCACTGCAGGATAAGTTTATTCAAAGATAAAGGCGGACTTTGTCTAGGCTTTTAATTTTTTAGTCATGGAGGTAATTAATTTTGGTATTACTTTTTCAATACTTTTTACATCCTTCATGGAGCAGTTGCAGTTTTCTGTTTTGAAAAATTTTAATGAATACCGCTCTCTGCTGATGATACATACTTGTTACAAAAAACTGGTTATGACTTTTCATGACACCAACAGAAAAAACAGTAATTATGTACCCTGTCTAATGATCCATTGTGATCCAATAAGAACTTGTCTAAAATTTTCCGGAGGATTTTTTATCCATTGAAACAGAATGGTAAGCCTAAAATACACCATGAATTCTTGGAGTTTCAGTTTTGAACGTTACCTGATAGATATATTTCTGAATAGTGAGGTTTCATACTAACCTGACAAGGACGGTATAGGCTGCGCAGACAAAATAGAACCTTTGTTTAAAATTATCACAACTTTAAGAATGAATTCCCTTGGTATGCTGACAGAATGCGACAAGACCTCGTCTTTGAGTAAATCTATAATCTGGCAATCGACTGCCTCATCCTCGATGATTTCGTCCGACGTCAACTCTGAGGGGTGGCCGCTAACAAACACAGAAAATAAATAATGTCAAAAAAGTGTCAAAATGGGGTAAAGTGTTTGAATCTCTGTTTGAAAACAATTTGATAAAAACTAGGTTATGACCTTAATCATTGGGATTGAATAAAACCTTTTGGAATCTAGGGACATCTTTTGGACTTCTGGATTTGGTGACAAGTTACTATTTGTAATGAGTGAAAAATATAGAACTGGAAAAAAAAATAAAATCATGGGTAAATCATGGGAATGGGTTGCTTAATAATTAGCCGATTTTGAGGAGCAAAAATGCATGAAATCAATTCTGCTTCTTTTTCTAATTTCAATAAAAATAAACAGATGAGGCATAAAATCACCCAAAATTTAGCCTCCATGAAACAGAACCAAGAGGAACCAGAGGTCAAGAAGAACCATAATTTTTAAAGACATTTTTAGATAGATTCCTTTTCAAAAGGTCCAATGTAGAAAATCATATCTACTCAATGATGCTCAAAAACAGAAATTCGTAAAATCTAACATTGCTCGGTTTTTTATTCGAAAGATAGTGCACAACAAGAGATTCTGAAAATGTGCAAGATAAAAGTTGTTCAAGTTTGGCATTTCTCGGCTCAATGTAAGTATGAAGTAGAGTGAAAGTTTCACGGTTTAAATACCTTTCAGGGAAAAGCAAAATGTTAAGTGCAGTTGCCAGTTCCGACCACATGGACTCAAATTCTGAATAATGCTTTCGCGCGAGTGGTATTCCTGTTGCCAGTACTTGTAACAAACTTGACACTGCGAGCTTCCATACACAGATGTAGGACCGGTCGTACCTCCTCTGTAAGGGTGCGTGGAAAACCTGATAGACAAACATTTCATATATAAATATTGATGATACAGAGAAGAAGATACAAAAATAGTTTTCATCACTCATTCAGCAATATTCACAGATAATTTCAAGATCCTTAGGTTTGTTTTCTCTACATAAAAATTGAACATTGTCATAGAATCTGAAAAAATCCTAAGAGGGTATTTATTTTTTCACTTTAGCTATTGATATGTCATTGGGAGTTTACAACCTTCAAAACAGTTTGCGAACTGTAGACTGGTGGAGCAAAATAGAAAATGAACTCAAAGTACAAATGTGTGCCTTCTTTCATCATCAAGTATACTGGAGTATTTGCCTAAATTTTGTACCTTGCCACTTTCTTGAGATTGTTAGGTAGCAAATTAAATTTAAAGGATTTTGTGGAGAGTAGACTGTGTTAGATTCGATAGAAATTCTGCAATATTAGCGATCAAAGTTGTACTCAGTCACGCAGAATGTGAAAATAACTGACAAAATGGCTGCAAAAATCAATTCGCACTGATCCTCTGTTTTATTTCTGATTGTTTGAGTGAAAAATCGTAAATAACTATAAAGAGGCTGAATATCAGTGTAAAACAACAAAAATTACCTGAATAATCATCATAAGAATTTGTCCGTTGATTACAGGTTTTTCGTGCGCTGTCTGTTCATATAAGTTGACGACCATTGCAATGGCTTTCTCACCAAAAGTTGCGCAGCTTATGGAGGCAGGATCACTCTAGAAAATAAAAAATTCCAATTGAGGTGGTGATATAAAAACACACAGGTCATTTTCAGCGATGGAGAGTAAATAGGATCAAAGTTCTTAATAACTAAAACAAAAAAAGAACCTTTATTCTTCAAAACACTTATTAAGGAATAAAAAAAATTCAATTTTGGAAATCCTATCTGTTTTTATAAAATAATCTTACATACTCTTTTAATGATTTCTCCTCTAGCAGTTTATAAGCTATCAGGTAGATTCAACCGGCATCCGCCTAACTGCATTTCACATGGTCTGATCCTCTCCGTTCGTGACGTTGCAGACTTCCTGCCATTTTTCATTTAGTTACTCTAGAAAACTAGTCAACGAATTTTCTTGAAACCTTCCTTCATATTTTTCTATGTCAGTAGAATATTCTGTGTAAAGGAGGGGTGGCGATTTGGGCCATTTCCGGCCCCACCTAATCCGGGACTTTTTTTGCTGTGATTCGTTACGTATGAGTGTCAAGAGAAAGCATGCCAAGTTTCAGGCCGATCGGCCCAATATTCGGGGGGCAGGGGCCCCCCGAATTTTTAAGCGCAAAATCGGTTTTAATTTTGTAGCGCCGTCAATTTCGCTCGTATACAGATGAAAATTAGGTGCCAGGGGTAAAATTTTGCGTTCTTTCCATTTCCGCCGTCAAAATTGGCACTGGAGCAAAATTAGGGGGGATTTTGGGGGGTTTTTCGCGATTTTTCGCGTTTTTTACCAATTTTCTGCGGTTTTCATGCTTTAAGTCAGAGATTTTCAGCCAAACGACCACAGATTTGATTTCTACGCAAAAAATTACATAGGAACACAATGACCAACTAACACTCAACAGCGGATTTCTCTAGGAAAAACTGACCCATAAGTATGTGTTCACTCAGAAATTTTGAAAATAGCCATGTTTCGGGTACAGCCCAAGCTTGTAGCACTACCATATTCACATATGATACGCTCTAGGTCGACCCTGTTGATATTATCGGGAACTTGAAATGCTACCCGCTTGGGCGGAGGGTCGAATTCTCCTCAGAAACGAATAAAAAGGCGATAAAATTACGTTTCACGTGAATTGTTGCGAGAGGAATGTTATTATATCGGCAACTTTCACCTCCAACTTATGTAATTTTTTGCGTGCTTTCCATTTCTGCCATGAAAATTGGCATCAAAGCAATTTAAAACGGGTTTTTTGGGGTTTTTTATCATTTTTTACAATTTTTTACCAGTTTTTTCCGGTCTTTAGCGGTTTTCATGTTTGTAACCTCATGTGGCATATCAGTTCTGTGGTTTCTTGGTTTTTACCGACATCAAGAAAAAGAGCCCCGAAGACTGTCATCCTCTTATGGAGACTGCCTAGAGGATGCTGCTTACTTATGGTCTGACGAGGATTCAGAATGAGAGATAAGGATTTTACACAACATTTCTTCTGCTATACGATTCATCCGTGACGTATTTTATGGATGTGATAGTAAATGTATTTTGAGAAAAATTAAAATTTGTGGTCGTTTGGCTCATTTGGTGAGGTTTCAAACATGAAAACCGCTAAAGACCGGAAAAAACTGGTAAAAAATTGTAAAAAATGATAAAAAACCCCAAAAAACCCGTTTTAAATTGCTTTGATGCCAATTTTCATGGCAGAAATGGAAAGCACGCAAAAAATTACATAAGTTGGAGGTGAAAGTTGCCGATATAATAACATTCCTCTCGCAACAATTCACGTGAAACGTAATTTTATCGCCTTTTTATTCGTTTCTGAGGAGAATTCGACCCTCCGCCCAAGCGGGTAGCATTTCAAGTTCCCGATAATATCAACAGGGTCGACCTAGAGCGTATCATATGTGAATATGGTAGTGCTACAAGCTTGGGCTGTACCCGAAACATGGCTATTTTCAAAATTTCTGAGTGAACACATACTTATGGGTCAGTTTTTCCTAGAGAAATCCGCTGTTGAGTGTTAGTTGGTCATTGTGTTCCTATGTAATTTTTTGCGTAGAAATCAAATCTGTGGTCGTTTGGCTGAAAATCTCTGACTTAAAGCATGAAAACCGCAGAAAATTGGTAAAAAACGCGAAAAATCGCGAAAAACCCCCCAAAATCCCCCCTAATTTTGCTCCAGTGCCAATTTTGACGGCGGAAATGGAAAGAACGCAAAATTTTACCCCTGGCACCTAATTTTCATCTGTATACGAGCGAAATTGACGGCGCTACAAAATTAAAACCGATTTTGCGCTTAAAAATTCGGGGGGCCCCTGCCCCCCGAATATTGGGCCGATCGGCCTGAAACTTGGCATGCTTTCTCTTGACACTTATACGTAACGAATCACAGCAAAAAAAGTCCCGGATTAGGTGGGGCCGGAAATGGCCCAAATCGCCACCTCTCCTTTCAAGCTAAACAGTTGGCTTGTTTCTCTTAGAAAAAATATATTAGGAGTGGAAAGTTTTGAAACATGGCAATGGCTATGTGGTATTGCACTTTAACCATGGAGTTTTTTCTTACTGCACAATGCAGTAATTATCCAATTGGAGGTGGATTTAAATAAAAACTTACTTGATTGAGAGGTTTTCCTTCCTGTTTTTCAGCCTTGATCGGTTGAAAAACGTACTTCGTGAGGGATAGTAATTGCTTGAATACTGGACATATCATTTTCTCCATGTTACTTGGACTACTGAGAACCTCCTGTTAACAGGAATGACAGAAATTAGACTTTAATTTGAACTCTCTTCATTAGAGGGACTTACCTAAGACTGGAATTTTAAGCACTGTACAGTCCATCAATATGCTTCAGCAAAGAAAAAAAGATTTTTCAAAACTTCATGTGTCTGCAGATTGCCTCTGTGTCTATTTAAACGGCAGCGCACTCAGATATTGTTCAGTATATCGCTAAATGGACTACAATGCAAAATGTAGATGGTATCTAGGATCAACTTTTAGGGGAAAAGTGGGGATGAAAGTTCCCTCCAGATTTTTGAAAAAGTCACCTGCAATCCACAAGAGTACCATTATTGACCGAGTAAGTATGGCCATTTGTATCTTTGTACTACAGGAAAACTGAGGCGCTTTTTGATTGGTCAACGAGTTTTTAGGCTTCATGATGCTCTTACAAACGGAAATAAACAAACAAGATGCCGACTCACCGTAACATTGATAAGGAGTTAAAATTTGACAAAAATTTCAATGGAGATGTTGCATGTGTGAGGAATTTGCGATTTGACTGTTGATTCTTATGTAAAAGTTCGCGAGAAACACAATGGTGTCACTAGTTTTCTCTGAAAACAACTCCCAAGCTCAAGAAAAGCTCTTAAGTTGAGGCCAAAATGGAGGGGATATCCCACGTTATCCTGAGAGTCCACCTCTACATCAAGACAAACTCTCCATGCAAAGATAGGGAGCAAATACATTAGCAGTGATGCCGTGTTTTCAGTTTTAAAGTCCCCAAATAAAGTGGCAGCCCTGTCAATGTATTTGCTCCTCATCTTTACATGGAGAGTTTGTCTTGATGTAGAGATGGACTCTTAGAACAGCATGGTATATCCCCTCCATTTTGGCCTCAACTTGAGAGCTTTTTTTGAGCTTGGGAGTTGATTTCAGAGATAACCAGTGGCGTCATCGTGTTTCTCGCAAACTTTTACATGAGAATCAATAATCAATAAGAATCAATAGTCAAATCGCAAATTCCTCACACATGCAACATCTCCATTTCTCAACTTACTGTTGTATACTGTGCATAACCTCAAACTTGCTTGCTGATAACAGCCATCTTGGTTTATGGTTTATGTTGTTTGTCTTGGGTCTCCCCAAGACATTGGCCTAATTCTTCTTTGGGAAAAACAGCCATTTTCAAAAAGTTGGGATCACAATACTGATCATTTCCCGCTTAAACTGTTAACTTTGAACCAATGATTGGCTCGATTGTAGTCCACTAAAATTTTGTTCTGGGTTGGATGATCTCCAAAAAATAATGATCACGTCCCTTTGAGCATTGCCATCACTGTCTTGATTATCTGGCTGTTAGTGGAGACCGCAGACAGGCCCAGGAGGAATAAACGGTTGAAGGAAGGATAAAGAGCGCAGACGTTGGGAAGAAAAACTAAAGGATTGCGTAGAAAAGAAGACGAAGAACTGAAATTAAGGAAAGAAAAAAGGAAAGGATTCAGGCCTATCAAAAATGGCTCCACTACTATGAGCCAGCAGTGACGCAACCGCTCGCGACAGATGCTCACCACAGACTCAACAGCCATCTTGTTTGTTTATTTACGGCTGTAAGAACATTGTGTCAGCCTATTTTCTCACAACCAATGAAAAACCGGCACAGAATCAGCCATACTCTGTCTATAAAGGTACTCTAAGATCCATATCCCTTCACATAAATGAAGAGCTATAAATAGAGGTATAAAGAGCTTGAAGCTGATGAAAATGTTCTAAACGCACTTTTTGTAAGAGTTGCATAACGTTGAGAACGCCCTCTTGCAACTGTGAAAGGGCTGTCTCTGACGGTGGTATCGAGAATGGCGAGACATCGTTGAAAGTATGGGTTGTCACTGCTTTTTCTAAAATATCACAGAGCTTCTCTAAATCGGAACTCGAAAACCTGAGGAAAAAAAAAAACACAAATTAGGAAACGAAAAATTGAATCAGGATAAAATTAAAAAAAAGTCAAAGATAATAAGAATAGAGGACTGAAGTATACTGCCGCGCCAAGGAAGAACGCCGCATTGACATTCAAGAGATGCCAAATTTTCATGGATAAAATGTTGATTTTTGAGGAGTGTTATGATCATTTTCCCTTAAAATTTTCAGACACATTTGGTGAAGTTGCGAATAAAATTATCTGAAAAATGGACGAAAAATATTTATAAGTTTACCAGGAAATTTGTGTTTTATCAAGAGAAATTAGGCAACACCTGATGGCTTATGCGGCGTTTTTCCTTGGCATGACAGTATAGTGAAGAGTAAATTCAAGAGCTAGGAGCAAGAGGGTTGTGAGGAACGTGGTTTGGAAAAATAAAGCTGTTCATATTTTCAATCAGCTTGGGACGGCTTCTGTATATCTGAGAAAATTTGGTGGTGACATCAAACGTCAGATAAGCAATGTAAACTTCAAAATACAAGAGAGTTTCAATGAGTAAGTATTCCTCCCTCTTTAAAATCTAAAAACAGGACCTGTTTAAGAATACTTGGGCTTAGAATCTTCCTTGAGGTGTACGAAAGTCAGAATGCAAGGTGTGAAAGTTCTCCAACTTAATGTAATTTTCTTATACTGATAGTCACAACTCGTAAAAGGACTTTATTTCGCAATAAGGAACTTCAATTTCTAACTTACTGTCGATTTTGAAAAAAACATAAATGCCATTGGTTTCCCTAAGTAGTTTTCCAGAGGAGCTAGAAACTCGAGTTGCAACTAGTGTCGTAACTAGTGTCAGGACTAGTATTACACCAAACAGCCTTTCTCTTTGAGGTAAAATTGTGCTCGAATGAGTTTTTTCCCTTTATACTGAGATTTCCAGTTTTCTGAATTTTCACGTACATTTGCTACATCTCCAACTTGCTGCCTATACGACTTGTGCATCTATCTGCAATCAGTTCGTGAGTCAGAAATTGTAATTCCTGATTGCAAAATGTAGTCCAAATGATAGAGCTGACAAACAAACTGAAAGACTTACCTAGAATGGATCTGCTGGAAAATCCCGGGGAAAATCTGTATTAACGCTGCGAGAAACTGTTGAGTTGGCAGATACTCAGGGTCCGATAGTGTTTGCACAGCTATTGACAGCCAAATTGTCCATGCAACATCCCACATTAGATTATTTGATTCACATTTCTCGTCAGTTACATCTGAGTTATTCAGGTAGAGAATTTCCTGGAGAGACCTCAGCGCAGCAAGAGAAACCTGCCAAAAAGAAAGAATAAAAAATTAGACATTTAAATAAAAAAATTTTGCATTAGGAAATGAATCTTCAATTTGGAATTAAATTTTTGTGCCATTTCACTTAGAAGAATTCACAAGAGCTTCTTCTCATACCCACATCTTATGCAGTACAAACCATTGTGACTTCGGTTTGGTTAGACTTTCTTGTGTGCTTTTTGTGCTATGATGTTTGTGAGACGCTGTGTTTTTGTGTTTTTTGTTATCTTATGTGTTTCTGTTATCTGTGTTATCTAATTTTGTGTTATCTTATTAATTTTATTTTTATTTTAATTATGAGCTTTTGTCGATTAGATTCCTTCTCTCATGGACAGTCATATGTAGAGAAACCACCTCAAAGGCATAAATTTAAAAATTTTACCTCATTGTTTTTGCTAACAGCAGCGTTTTCGACAAATTCTAATAAGAGAGACCATGCTCGGGAAAAGCCGCCTAATGATTCTAGAACGTTCATTTTCGTGTTGAACACTTTGGCCACACCGGATAAAGTTAGTACCTGAAAAAATTACAAAGATTAAATTATGGTTTTGAAAGAAAAAAGTAAATTAAAAATAGGGTCTCTTATGGGTTGCTGCTGGTTCGTCCATAATTGACATTCACTGACCTCCTTTGCCCATTGCAACCACCCGCTTCCATCAAAGAATTTCTGCATTTTCTTTTTGTCTTCTTTGTCTATTGCTTTGTCCATCAATTTTAATGGTCAGCCCGCAATTACTGTATTACGGTTTTTCATTTTCGTTTTATATCCCCCCCCCCTTGCAAAATAACGCTTCTGTTGAAGGAAAGAAAGAAGCACAGAATTAACTCAATGATGTAAATTTAATACACATCAAGAGTATTTTATTTTTTATCATAATCTAAAAATAATAGAATTCGAGTCAAATAAAATAGGTAATTTTGCACAATGATAAAGACGTTTCTTCACATTGATTTTTGCATTTACTTGCAAAATCGGAAGGCAGGAGATTTATGGTCACATTCTGTGAATCAGTCAACTTACTTTACGTGAACTTTACCAAAATTTGAGTGACAAAAATAATATATAAAATGCAGTTTTTTTTAAATTTGGATGAGAATTTCGGCAAAACAATCAAAATGACTAAAAACATACTTGAGTTTCCGCCCACTGCTTTTGCGCCGTATTCCTGCTGTGATGGATGAGGATATTTCCACCTGTGTCCACTTTTTCACTGCTGGCAGAATTTGATAGATTTCGCACTTGGTCAAGCAGAGGAAACAAAACCTGAAACAAGTTTCACAGAAAATAAGAATTCAAGTATGCGGCCTCAACAGGGGGTCTAGCTTTTTTTCATTCTAGGAAATTCTGATTTTTCCCGATTTTCGACTGCTAAATCCTGATTTTTTGCAGAGAAAAATTAGGCAAATGTAACTTCACAAAAATAGCTTGATAAAAAAATCCGATCAGACAACCGACTTTTCTCAAATCCTGATTTTACGACCAATTTTTCCTCAAATCCTGCAAGAATCGGGAAAATCCTGATGCTAGAAACTCTGCTCAGTAACGTGTGGGGAAGAGGGCATAAATGTGATTAATCGTTCTATTGCGCAAAAATGACATTGAAAACATCAACAAAATTTGAGATTTGCTCCTGACTGATCTTTTAATCCACGTAATCAGTAGGACACATTTTCAAATTTTCCATAACCGCAAGCATTATGTTCTATCATCTGCAAATAGGTTTACCTGGTGGCGTATGAAAATTTTTTTACCCACAGTAACTTTAGGTCACATGTTAGGAATCCTAAGCTATTGCATATGAGTGTTTTTTTACATCCCTTATGCAGGTAAATGCATCAAAGTCACAGGCAAGTCACCAGCCACATACGAGAGAGGTTCCGTTGAAAATGTAAAGTCAAGTGTCTAACCTGCCACAACACCGAGTGCCATGTTGCATGGTTCAGTAAAGCACCGTGGGCGTAAATTGTGGAAAATAAGGTTTGTCCGGCTGATTTCCGTACGGCAGGGCGTGGATCAACACAAAGTTTACCTGTGGGATAAAAAGATGCAGAACTTAAATACTGAGCGCACATTCAAAGAGCCGTATGCAAAAACGACATTTTTCGCCCCCCCACTAAAACTTATTCAAACTTCGTCTATCAGTTACTAATACTGGAGCGCTTCTTTCCCCAAATTTTCAGACCCCCAAAAAATTTTGGGGGGGCGCTAGGGGGGGTGGAAGTCAAAACCTGTGACCCTCGATATCTTTCGAACGAAACAAGATATTGAGGCCCGGTTTGGACGAAAAATCGTCAAAAATTGCATACTTTAAGATTCTAAAGGTCAAAATCCCAAAATTAAATTTTTAACTTAACTTATGTGCTTTTTTTCAGTTTTTGAGGAAAAACAATTTTTTTTAAACAGATTAAACTGAAATTTCACATTTTTTGATTTAAACCAAAACCAGTTTTTCAAATTGTTCGTCTTTTTCCGCATCCAACGGGTGGTCGTATAAGCTGGGGAACCGAACGGTTCCGGAGTTATGATCGATTGAAGTTTCCGCTCAACGCGCGCCGACCGACTTTCGCGCGCAAAAAAGTCGGATTTGACTGTTATTAAATTAGATTCAATGTTCAAACTGAGCAAAATGCATTATTAGGGACTCTTGAGGGTCGCTGAGTGCAGAAAGTACAGATACTTCCAAAAAATTCACGTTTTTAAAATTACAGCTCCGTAGCGCTATTTTAGAGGCCCACTGAGCGCCGACCGGCCGCTCAGTGGTCCTGTCCGGAGCTGTAATTTTAAAAACGTGAATTTTTTGGAAGTATCTGTAATTCCTGGACTCAGCAACCCTCAAGGGTCCCTAATAATGCATTTTGCTCAGTTTGAACATTAAATCTAATTTAATAACAGTCAAATCCGACTTTTTTGCGCGCGAAAGTCGGTCGGCGCGCGTTGAGCGGAAACTTCAATCGATCATAACTCCGGAACCGTTCGGTTCCCCAGCTTATACGACCACCCGTTGGATGCGGAAAAAGACGAACAATTTGAAAATTGGTTTTGGTTTAAATCAAAAAATGTGAAATTTCAGTTTAATCTGTTTAAAAAAAATTGTTTTTCCTCAAAAACTGAAAAAAAGCACATAAGTTAAGTTAAAAATTAAATTTTGGGATTTTGTCCTTTAGAATCTTAAAGTATGCAATTTTTGACGATTTTTCGTCCAAACCGGGCCTCAATATCTTGTTTCGTTCGAAAGATATCGAGGGTCACAGGTTTTGACTTCCACCCCCCCTAGCGCCCCCCCAAAATTTTTTGGGGGTCTGAAAATTTGGGGAAAGAAGCGCTCCAGTATTAGTAACTGATAGACGAAGTTTGAATAAGTTTTAGTGGGGGGGGCGAAAAATGTCGTTTTTGCATACGGCTCTTTGACACTTAAAATGGTACTGTTTAGTTGAAATTATTTTTTTGGTTAAACTCGGTTATTAACATTGAAGATTAATTTCATAAACTCAATTTTGACACATTATTTACCTACTATATTTGATACAATTTTCCCATCTCTACCATTCTCACCTGTACCATTTTCACTTGACATTTGCATCAAGGTTTATCCAGATTTCAAGGACAAGATTCCGGACTTTATTAGGCTTCCCCAGTGAAATAGATAAATAATTAGAATTACTGGCTAATTTAGTCGGCCTACCATTTAATTATGCTCACCTTTGCTCTGGTACGATGGATGAATTTTGCAATTTTTGGAACGAGTTTTGATTCACGTTATAATTATCCACTTTTACTAAACTTAACAGGGTATCGTTAAAAGTTTTGTTAAAGGGACATATTTTCAAGCTCTCAAACGTAGAGGTACATGAAACATGCTCAGATCTTGCAGATTCATCATTTCGATGTTAAGTAAAACAAATTCATGTGCAAAAATCCAAAATAAAATTAACTGGATTCTTTTCTCCCCATCTGCTGAGTGCTCATAAACCTTGTTAAGTTGAGAGTTTGAGCCTTAATTTTGGGGACAACCAGAGACACCATCAATACAACAATAGATGAAAAAAAAACAAATAAAAGAAAGATACTTGTATTTACCGAGGCGAGTGAATAGGCACATCCACAATTTATCGAACGGAGGCATATCTTGACAACCAGGAAAATCAGGAAACACAGGTGGGTCGTTCGACAGCGACTGACTTAACTTCTCTTGATTTTGGAAAAAGTAGTCAGAAATATTCCACTGTAAAAGAGAGTAGAATTTGATAAGATTTTGAGAGGGTAAAAAAATTCCTGTGAATGAACTTTAAAACACATGAGGAAAACCTATGCTACAAAAATAAAGACTCCGGTTGCAAATTGCTTCACGGTGATTGAAGAAAGAAGGAAAACTTTGGTGTCACTAACCAGTGCCAAACTAATCACATCAAGGATTTTGCAAAAAGACTTAAGTCCAAAAACTTATTACTAATATTGTGTTGAATAGTATAATAGAAACATAATAGATACATAATGGAATCCTTAAAATTGTTTTCAGTAAAAAAAAAAATGATATAATGTACTCAAGTTCCTTTTTTTGCAAATTTACTTTTCACTGATGACTAACTCGACTAGCAGAACCTTGGAAATAGTGGGATGGACTTTTCATCTCTTAAAAACATGAAGGGAGTACCATGAACAGATAGCAAGCCAATTGTGTTTTTGCTCCCAATTTTGTTTGAATGCTTTTAAATCCTTGACATAAATCTTCAGTTTCTGGGTAAAAAAATCAACTTACCATGAGACCTATGGCAGTTAAAGAAATATTTAATTCTTGAGTTTGAGATCCGAAAATGGAGGTAGTCTCTAGACAGAGTGGTAGACAACGCCAAGGCATCAACGGTAAGAAGTCAGTCACAACCAGCTGCAGGCACTGAAAAGCTGTTCGCACAAGGTTTTCCCTGAAACATTAGGGCGATTAAAACAATGAATCTTTCAGATCACACTTAGTAGAATTTGCAGCAATTGGCTGGATACAATTATGCAAATCTTTATAGCAATGGTGTCGCTGTAAATGATGGAAACATACCAACCTTTTATTTTCAGATATTTCCCGTGGATAAAGGGACTTCAACACTGAGAGCCCAAATTTCTAAGGAATCAATTTTTCTGCCAGTGATTTAGATAATTAGAATTTAAATTTCTTACTCAAAAGTGACCCTCTGTGGTATCTCACAGAATGAGTTAGAAGCAAACGGTTTCATTAGTTAATGAGCCAAGTGCTACATATTTTCCAATCCGAAAATGATTAGTCTTTTTTCTCAATTTTTTTTTTTTCGGAATGGTGAACTTCATATCATCCCAGCCTTGGTATCTTTGGAGACTTTTGATGATTTTTAATGTCAAAATGTTTGTACAGCTTCTACTTCCGATTTCTTTCTCAATGCCATGGTCCTTTTTTCTGGGAGGGTTTAAAGTACAAAAATATATTCACCCTTGTTGACTAGAAACAGCACCGATAATACTAAGAACGAGAGGCCATCCATGAGACAGAGTTTCCCCAGAACTGTGCAATACTTGCAGAACACACTCCAGCTGCCGTTGCCGTACATCAGCATGGGCTATGGATGAGAGCTCAGCCAACGGACTTAACAGTAACGTTTGGAGCTTCTGAAAAAGACAACAGAATTAATGAATGCAGCACTGAAGATCTGTCAGTGATCTTGGAGGTTTCCATAAGAGCATATTACTGGAAAGAGAAAAAGAAAGATGATTCACAGAGGAAAGAAGAAACTGACCTGCGCAAAGAATTAATAAATAAAAAAATTCACGTCTTTTACTTTTCTCAGTCTTATTGCTACAAAGGAAATATTGTTTAAAACATCATACAAGGACAAGATGTAATTTTGAGATGAAAGCTATGGACGTTGGGAGCCAAGAATTGTTGGATTAGAGTGTAACTTTACCCTTGCTCTGACACAAAAACGAAAAAAATATCTTGCAATATATTCTTTGGGAGACTTTTTTCTTTACAACTCAAAATTTTAATACTTTGATCCAGCTGAAAATTGTTCTAAAAATACTACAGAAAGCGAAGATTTGCTTTCATCCATTTAAGCTCCTTTTCTTGTTGATGGTTTCAAATGAATCAGTTCATGTTAAACCTAAACCGCCTAGTGTTACCGTCCAACTTAATCTTCGGACGAGTTAAGTTTTTGCATGAAATAACCCAGAGACATGTTTAAAAAATAAATGCAATTCTAGGAATTTTTGCGGCAGATTCAGACGGATAATTGATAATGAGACAGCCTCTTAAAGAAGATTCTCCTGTGAAATACTCACGTATTGATTTGATGGTCTCTTAATGTTCAACATCAACTGATTCAAATGATAGAGGAATGCACTGAACTGGAAACATAACTTACTTGATTATCTTTCAAAGGTGGCTGGTATTTATAAGGCAACGCACCCTTCACCAGATACGTGACAGCCTCAACTCCCCACTCGCGCATCCTGATGTGCGGATGTTGACACACCTCCAGGAGATGGTTCGTCAACGGTCGCCAGAATACTTCAACACGAGACAAATTAACTAGCCCAGTTTCCAAAAGTTTGGCGACTGCAAAGAGAGAAGGTTCCTGAAAAAAAAGCAAAAAGTTTTGATAAGAATTTTTTCACAGGCTCTGACAAGTATACTGCAGTGAAGGAAGGTTGGTAGATTACATCTGGTATTGGATAGCTAGTAACTGGCTGAAAAGGTGGTTTATTCTATGATTGATCCCTTGATATATTTAATGATACAATTGCATGGACTGAATACAACAGAAACACATCAACCATTCAAACAACGCTATCATTTGACGATAAATGTTCAAAATTTCAAAGAAGCCTATTTCACATATCACTCAGCATAAAATTTCAAAGAGAAAACATAAAATGTGTTTCTCGGTTTTGAGCCCTGCCAACTATTTTATTAACTGCCCAGTATTGACAAGAAATTTTCCATAAGAATCTAGTTCCACGAAAAGTTTTTGTAAAGAAATTTCATATTGTTGTATCTAATTATGATGTTTCTAAAGGGTAATTAAAATGTTCTTTTCCTCCCTAGAGAGACTTTATTATGAGAAAAAATTGTGTCTTTTTTTCTTTTTCTTTTTTTTAAAATAAGGAAATAAGCTAGAAAACATGGAAACATGGGCATGAACACAACATGAAACATTATGTAACATAACATGGAAAGTATCCTAACCAGACCAAGCTTTTTGGATATTTTATAAAATACAACAGAGTTATTTTAAAATAAAAACCAAAAAAGGATGCAGACTTTGCATCATTTTTACAGGGTCTTGAATAGCTCCTCCTCCAGGAAGCTTTCTACAGCATTAGTAATTTTCATAATACGTGATTTCTTACCATCTACTCAGTAACTTAGTGACATTTCAAAAAATGCCTCTGTACCCTGTGGTTTAATAGTGCCTTTTTATTCAATCCCTTTCACCTTTTTACTAGACACGTGCGATTAATCGAACAGTAATCGTAATCGCAATTAATTTTTTTCATCATAACCGTAATAGGTTTGACAAATTAATTGTGATTGATTCGATTAATTTGACTTCACGAAATGTCCAGTTTTGCGTCGCATTTTGGATTTGACATTCCTGCCACATTTGTTCAAATTTGCGTCACGTCTATGGTAGCGCGCTGGTAGTCCCTAGCGGTAAAAACTGGCACTAAAAATAGTGATACCCCATGAAAATATCCCCATCGGGCTTGTGTTCTTCGAATACTTTTGGAGGAGATCTTCAAGAACTTGTATACTTCTACTTTGTTTTTCGCCAAAAAATAACTTCACTTTTAGTCAACAAAAAAAAAAAAAATAAAAAAAAATTATCACGCTCTGCTTAAATTGTTCAGATTTCCCAATTTTAATCGTATTCGTGATCGTAATCAGGATTAATTTCGTTAATTGTAATTGAATCGTAATCGAATTGGAAAATCCATAATCACACAGGTCTACTTTTCACCTTTTTTTTGGTGACTTGTAGCATGGCTGATTTATTGGCCGATATGTTCCAAATAATATAATAAACAATAAATAAATAAAAAAACTTGAGCTCACTCTGTTTGAATATGCCAATTCCATTGCTTCATGAGAGAGTTTACAGAGAGCATCGATGAGGTGGTGTAGAGAGACTTCGTCAAGACACGAGCTGCTCTGAAACAGCTGGCTAAGCATATTATTCAGGATCGGGAGATCTGCCATCACAGCAGTTGTTATCACAGTATTTGCGTCCGTGAATGTGCGTCCAATTTTCAAGCTTCCGCCTGTCGATGGCTTCAGGCCCAAAATCCATGCTAGGTGCTGCGACAGAAGTCAATACGAATATTAAACCTGATCTAACAAATTTGATTCATGCAACTCCTAACACATTGATGGCTTGTATAACGATTGCATCGTTTAAAAATCTTTGATAATATTTTACTTTCTTCCAAGAACACAAATCAAAATGTTACTTTGAAAGAGTATTCCCGGGTAAAAATAAATTCTTTAAGTATGGCACTGTAACTTTTAGACATCCTGTATATTACAGCATGGAGTCCAGTTATTGTGACTGTGAGATAAATTATCATTTTGAATCCAAGAAAGTGCGACAAAGCGCTGCAACCCTACTAACACATCAACAGTTAAACTACCAGACCACTTATCTTGTGTGCCCTGTTTAATAATTTCCGCTACCACTTTATTTTTTTGAATGAGAACAAATCAGTATCATTCCTTGAGGTTTACACAGAGTTTTCTTTGCTTAGAGAAAAAAAATCATGGGAGTTTTCAAGAATTGATGTTGAGTAGTCTTTCATTTAAAAAATAAAGTACGACAGAAAATCTGCAACGTCGCAAACCAGGATTCATGGTTTAGTAGTTTCACCATCGATATTCGACTTCATTTCTGCATAGAGAGTTTGATTGAATATAAAGGTGAACTCTTTTATATATCCACGCTATCATCTTTATCACAGCTTCGACTTGGTGAGCTTTTTTTTTCAGTGGAATTTAGAGAGAAACCATCGTATTTCTTGAAAAATTTTACGAAAGCAAACAGTTGAACTGGACTTATTTTTATCAAACGGAACTACAAGCTGTATGACAAGAGCCCTGTTATGCACTTATTTTTATGGGTCCAAGGGCTCATGTCTTAATTCACATAGTTCCGTTTAGAGTACCTGAATAGCGAGAGTATGGACAGATCGCTTCATGGAGGGCTTAGGGCCCAAAAGTGCAGCCACCCTTCTAACCAACTTCTAACGCACAAAATTTCACTGCCAGTCTGCAGGTTCCAATTCTAACCAAGATGGTCAAGAATGTACATAAATAAGCGTTCTTCCGCAAAATTGAGTAAATTTATGCAAAAACTGAGTCAAACACGTGCTTAATAAACGACGGTTCGTAACAGTAGTATTAGTAAATCGTTCTGGATAATTGAAATTCATAGGTTGGCTGCATTTCTGGGCCCTAACTTTATTCGCAGAAGCATCGGTGAGGGCCTGATGGATTTTCGGAGTTTCACATCTGTCCATACTCTCGCTATACAGGTACTCTAGTTCCGTTGGGCAGAAATATGTCCAATCAAGAATCCCCGCAGCATGCCAGGGCTCAAAACAGCAAGAGGGTGCAAACCTGGAGAGTGATGAGAACAAGATGCCAAGCGGAGCCAAGAACGCTCCCGTGACAATGCGCCAACGTCAAAAGCGCGCGCATGCATTGAAGATTTTTCGCCGTCAGCATTACTGGACCTTGATGCGCACCTGCAAGTCAATTCATTTTTTCTTAAAAGCCTCATACTGACAAATTTAAAAAGGATGTTGAGACCGAGACAAAAAATGCGAAAAAAAGCATCTGATTTTGAAGAGAAATAATGTTACTGGAGAACTTTCAGTTTCAGGGAATTTTTGGATCCAAAACTTTGTCAACCCGATCTGAATATATATAAAAAAAAATTAAATTTGAACACATAAACTTTGATCCAATTTAAATCATAGACATTTCAACAATCAAATTCAGTATAAACAATTTCATTAATAGAAAAAGAGAGAAAAAACAAAGAGCGAGAAGAAAAGGAGAAAAAGGAAATGTCTCTCTTCCTTACTTTGCCCTCTTTTTCATCTACCCTTTTGTCCTCTTTTTGTTTTTCTCATTTGCCTTCTTTTTCTTTCCTTCTTCCTCTTCCTCTTTTTGTTATTTTTTTGCAGTTTTTTCCTCTTTTGTTTATTTTCATTATGTATCCTCTTCTTCTATCCTTCTTTTCCTTCTCTTTTTCTTTCTTTCTTCCAATTTCTAATGCATTCTCATCTAAAAAAGTTAGAAGACGTCGAATCAAAGTCTACCAGTCTAGGGTTAGATAATTTTAATTGGGATAGAACTACTTTGTCCAGTCAATGTAATAACCAAATATGGTTTCAACAATTTATTTTGACCAAATCTCACTGCTCAAAAAACAAAGAAGAAGATGAGGATTAATGCAAACCTGCGGGCAAAGATGAAGTTGGTAAGGGTGTGCCGACAACGACAACTTGCTGTTTGTATTCTAGCTCATTGCCGTACATGGATGAGTTGAATTGTGAATTGCTATCTTGATACAGCCCATGAAGAGATCCTGTATAAATCACAAAAAAACCCAAAAATATAATTTGTGAAGCTGAAAACCTCCCCTTCTTATGGTAACAGAGGTCTGCATAAATTACCAACGCTTTCTTCCTCATACCTCCCTTCAGATTCGCGTTGTGTAATGAATTTGGGATGATAAATTGTGACTTTGCATGATTTTTGATCGGTATTGGATCGGACGGTATCAGATTTGACTCAGTATCACAACTTTTGAGGCGTTGGGTGCAGAAAGGGTATTTTTGGGTTGCGGTGTTTCAGAATCTCTAGAGCTAATTTATATTTCAGAGAGGGAACTATTTGGTGAATTTTCTGAGATTTTTAGTTTTCAACATTGCAAAATCATAAAGGAAATTCAATAAAGGTTTTAACGATTTCCATGCATTTGATTTAATTACAATAGTGGATGTAACGCTAATGGAGATCCTAAGACACCCCAACCAATAAATGTCTTTTCTGCACCCAGCTTTTCATTTACTCTCAGCTAACTCGTAAAATACAGTGCACACATTGAATATTTCATACGTTATATCGTCAATGAGATAATTGCATTTCTTGAGTTTATGAAATTTATTTCTAGCTTATCATATGACCAAAATCTACTAAAACTCAATTGGCCACCAATGCAAGTTTTGATGGTCGCATTTTCTTAGTCAGTTGAATTGAATAGATTAAACCCGAAACAGCATTACTGCATTGGACGTTGCTTAATTTTCTCTAATTTTTTTTTTTAAAAAAACAGAAAACAAGGTGACAATGAAACTTGAAATTGCGTAAGTATACTTAACGTAATCTACTGTAAATTTACAGGAATTATGAAGTAGTTAAGTTATTTAATTCTCTGTTAAAAAATAAAACTTGAGAGAAAATTAGATGATAGGAAATAAAAATAGGCTGATTCAATTAAATGCATACATTTTTTCTTGATAAAATGAAAATTCTTGTGCATCAACAGAGGACGTTATTTAACTGACGTTATGAAATCACTAATATCTTAACTTTCCCAAAAAGTCGCTGGCCTCTTTTATACATGGAAATTTAAGGAAATAATCACAAAAATTTAAGATACAATGGTAACATAAAAGAGAGGAAAATAACTTTCAAGAAGTAAAAAAAGGAACCAATTTGTCATTAACTGCGTGGACGAGGACGGGAACAAAACTTACCGGTTGAACCAACAGGAACTGAATTTAAAACGCTAAGAGAGTAGTGGGGAGGTAAGGAGGCTTTGCAAATTGCGGTGATGAAAGCATCTCTAGGAATGAGAAGGTTTAAAAGACCGCACAAACTGACAAACGTTTGAATGGCTTTCAGTATATTTTCCGTTGCTGCTTCGTCAGTGCTGCCAACAAAATTAAACACTGGATGGATTATTTAAAATAGGATGATCCATTGGTGCAATTCAAACCACCTGCTTTCTACTAAAGAAAATTGGATTACATTTTGCAATAAGGAGTCACTATTTCTGGCCCATTTTAGAAACAGCATACATGCCATTGGTTTCCCTATGCAGATATGTGCTCTAATGGGAGAGCCAGAGATAGTTCCTTATTGCAAATGTAATCCAATTATGAAACTTAACCTACGAATACAAATTGATCTTTACTCAAGTTTGACCTAGCTGCTTTTTAACCTAGCCATCAAGGGTTCAGAGAGGTGCAGAAAAATCAAGTTAAACTAATCAAATCTATATGGTTGTTTCATCTTTGATAAAGCAAGGGGCAAAAGAAACGAAGACATACAAAACAAAGAAAAACAAATCAAAACTGTAACAAACAGAAAAAAAGAAGGTAACAAACTGTGAGCAGGATGAATAGGACGTATTTCTGCCAAACGGAACTATGTGCATTATGACGTGAGCCCTGTTATGCATATATTCTTATGGGTCTCAGGACTCATGTCTAAATTCACATAGTTCTGTTTGGCAGAAATACGTCCAATAAAAAAAGAGAATTGGAATATTAAGAAACTCAGACTCACAAAATAAAGTAAAATTAACGCCAACGAGCCTCAGGAGCCCGTGGTCCATCAGTCGTCAGTTAGGTTTGCAGCCGCAAAGATGAGACTACAGGATCCAGAGATGCGTTTGCATTCAGCATTTCCTTCGTGAGAATTTATCTAGCAAGTTTGAGTTTTTTAATTTTCCCATCCTTTTCTCTTTCTTATTGTAACATGGCGCACTAAGATGCATCTTTTTCCAGTTTCATTACCAACAAACAGTTTTAACTTTTTAAGGCAAACACAAGTTTTTGGATATTTTTTGAGGCAAGTTCCTTTGATTATGCCTGACTTCTGAACCTATCATAGAAATAAATGACGTGTTTCTAATCATAGACAAGCCTGTAGGACCCTCAACAATTAAGAGAAAACAACGTACCTGGCATCGACCAATGGAGCCAGAGCTGCAAGAATGCCACCCCAACTGGATTCCAGGAGCTGGTAGTGAAGAGCCCGCTCTTTCTCCGAACATTGATACTTAATGTTGACAGGCTCTCCGTCGCTGACTGGCGTCGGACCGTGAATCGCTAGCGAAATCGATCGGATGATGTCCAGAAGGCAAGCGTATGCCACCGAAATCCCATAACCATCTGGAATACTTGGGGGCTCCACTTTATCCATCATTTCTAGGCTACAGAGGAAAAAAGTTTAATTGAGCTAAACAAATCTTTGCTGATGAAAATTAAGTCTTCTTGAGAGAATTTTAGTCGGAAATCAGAATTTTAATCGAAGTTTAGTCTGATATATTTGAAAATTTCAAAGAAAAACAATCATATTTTTCTCTGGGATAAACATTTTGCCAGATTAAATTTTAAAACCGATTGTTCACATTTAAGGGTATTTTGCATAGCAGAAAATTTGTAGAACACTCCTTTATGCTCCACTGAGGTCTACTTCTCTGCGACCAATCATGCACAGAGTTTTGTCGCCCTTTTTAATCTAGCAATCATGCAAGTAAAATTAGAATTAGAAATATTCATATCGATATAAAATAATTAATTGTTACTAAGTATAACATCAACATAAAATCTATTTCTCTGGAAACTTTTGCTCAAAATAACATTCTGGCTGAAAACTTACTAGGTGGACTTTGCTTGACCACTTGGGAACGTGACAACGATGGGTAGCCAAACGCTTTTGGAGAAAAATCCTGGTTGCGGTGAGACTCCAGGGCCCACAGGCATTCCTGCAAGCATTGCTGGTGGCTGTCCTTGTATGTTATTAGTATTACCTGTATCACGAGAGAAAATTGGAATGAGAAAAATTAATCAGTCCTAAAAAGGATTTAAAATACAATCATTCTGAAAATACATGGGAGAGCAATGAACCAGTGAACTGGATTAAGTTCCACAGGACATGATTTCTAAAAACAAAACTTCAGTGCAGAACTTGTGGAACATTTTTGAGACTTACGAAATCAAATAATACGAGAGAAATAAATTATTATAGTTCACATTACCTGCAGTCAAGTCAAACTATTCATTCGATAGAAAAAAAACAAACAAAAAAACTATCAATGAATGCCCAACTAGGCAGTAAGAGAGAAACTCATGAATCAACAAGAGACGGATATTAAATGAGGTCTGCTGTTAGACAAACTTTTGTCCTCAATTTGCTTAGTTGTGAAAGTTACATGCTAGTCCTGGATATCATCCAAAGAACCTTCCTTTCCCCAGCCAGATAGAAACTTTTAGGACACTCTACACACAAATAAGGCAGTGAAGTTAATTTTGCTCTAAAAATTACAGCTAGGTAGAAATATTCCGGGTAAGATTAACTACCATTTTGTCAGAAAAGTTTCAAACCAGAGGAGCAAAATGTGTATAAGTATGTGCATTTGAAACGATAATTTACGACTTTCGAAACTTACTGGTGATGGATATTGTTTGAGGGTTAATGAAGAGGGACTGAACATAAGCTCCAAGGGCATTGACGATGTCCTGTAGAATATTCGTTGTGTGGGATTTGAGATCGTAACATTCGCAGAACGAAGACAGCAGCTCCGGTTGGATGACTAACTTGTGGATCGCCTCCAGAGCAAGACACCGCTGCCAGACAGGTTTATCCGGGTCTAGGAATTTCACTATCAGAGAGAGAAAAATTTCACATTCCGTGACCTGAAACGGCGGTAATGAAAATTAATTAGAAAACAGGAAACTGAGAATATTCTCGTATCCCACTTGGTACAGGGTTCCCGCAGAATTTAGAAAATGAAATTCCCTGAAATTTCCCTGACACATTTTGGTGGAATTCCCTGATAATTGAAGATGTGACGGATGGTTAAGAAGGCATAATTGAAAATAATCATCAGGCAAAATTTGTTGTTCAAAATCTTAAACCCGTTCTAGAAAGCAAATGAAGGTGATTTTATACATTTTCCCTAACATTCTCATCGATTTCCCTGACATTTCCCGGTTTTTCCTGACTGTGGCAACCCTGTTAGTACTTATTTTGAAGACAAATCCTCCTTTAAATTCTAAATATTCTTAGATTTTTTGGATGTCAACGATTCATCAAGTTCATGCAGATAAATTATAGTTGACCTTGCACAACAAAAATCAAAGTTTGCTCAAGTTTTTGGCGTGATACTTGTAATAAATCATGATCGGATCATCGATTAGATCATGAAGGAGCCTTCAGACAAATGATGTTGAAAAGGGAAATTGCAATTTTTCTGCAAATTGATGCCTATTCTACTTAATTTCTGGTGAGAGAGGAAAAAATTAGAGCAAAAAAAAAAAAAAGGAAACAAATACTAATGCAACAAATGTAAGAGAGAACATACTTCATCATATCACATTGTGCGTTAGAGGGTGGATTTCGGACTTTTTTGGCGTTCTTATCATGATTGCCTTTAAGCCATAATGAGCGTTGAATAATATTGATGATGATAAGGAAACCGAATTTTTTAAAAATACAAAGAGGAATGTATGATGGGATTAGAGATACGTACTAGTAGATTGTGATACTTCTGGATAAGAACAGTGACTATTCGCAGAAGCCGAACGCTGATGGGAAAATAGGGTTTGTCCAGGAGATTGGTCTGCTGCATACTGGTTGGAGCAAAATTCCGGTACTTGATGTTTGGTGAGAATAGTTTTATTATCAGAGCACAGACACGTTCTTTGAGGAGAAATCTAAATTCTGGATGCTAAAGAATGGAGAAAAACTATTAGATTTTATTGTAAGGGGTACTTGCAATATTCTTGAAAAAAAGGTCAGGGAAGCAGAAAATTCTTGACCACTCGATCAGAGCTCTTTGAGTTTTACAGATTTCTTGTGACCGATTTAAAAAGAATTCCCTCACTTTTGAGACAGCATAGGGTAATAAAGAACAATTTTGAAATTTACAAATTTGGCTCGGGGACAAACTAAAACTATGTGACGCAACAATGCATAAAAATGTGCCTTTAATGTGAGCGTGATTACAGAACTCCCTCACGACCAATCTGCTGAAAGTGAAAAGAGATGGAATTCCCAGTCTCTGACAACAATGTACTTATCTTCCTACAGATTTTTTATTTGATTTTTTGAAGCACTTCATGGAAAAATTTCTCATAAGACATCTGGAAAAACAAACCTTGAAAAATACTGAGGAGAAATTAGAGAGAACTGATTCGACCAACTCAAGTCCAAACGTTCGAGTCATTTCAGTCATTCCGACAAGCCAATAGGGTTGATCTGCATTTACTAATAGAATAAGATCCTGTAAAATGAGCAAAACATATTTAATAACTTAATTTGAAATTTAATGATCTGTTGGCAGAGAAAATATTAAATGAGGAAAGATGAGCCAAAGATTGACAAAGAAAAATAAATTCTTCCATGTTCCTTTTCTGTTCTTATTCATCTTTCTCTCCTTCTTTCTACCTTGTTACTCCTGCTCTTTTCTTCCTTTTTTCTTTTCTTTGGGGCTGTTGAAGTATTATATCAGCTACTTAGGGGGATGGGGAGGTCTGGATTTGCCTTACGAGGTCTTAAAATGGGGACAGGAGTAGAGCTCAATTTTACATAATTAAACCTTCCTCTTTGGTTAAAATAAACTTTCCAATAGGGGACATTTTTTCAGCTATTTTTTACCGGTCTCTTAGTTTTGAAAAAGGGGACATCTCTGCCGAAATTTGGAAGAATTGCATACCAACAGGGTGTCTACTAAAACAAGCAAGTCAAAAATCAGTACTTTTACATTACTTTTTCAGTACATTCCCAAGGAATTCAGTGCCTCTTCAACAGAAAAATTCAGTACTTTTTCAGTACCTCCAATTGACGAAATTCGAAAAATTTCAAAAATTCGAATCTCTTGCTCAAACTTCGACAAAAGTGACAAAAAAATTTAAAACTTCCCGACCTTTTTGCGGAATTTCCAGACTTTTTCCGTACTTCTGGACGGCCCTTAAAAAATCAGTACTACTTCTGGACTTTCCGACACCCTGACTGACCAAAGATATTCGAAAATTTAACTTTAATTCGCATCTAGGAGACCAAAAACTTGGTATGGCTTGGAAGTTTCACCAGGAAATCACTTAGACAATGAGTGTTTGACCAATGGTGAAAGATATAAAACTTTCAAAAATATTTAGGTCACTTTTTTTGCTTTTGTTAGAATTACAATTTGTCACTGAGGCATGTTGCACTGACACAAAAAACTGTCTCACACTGAGGAACAACAACTTATTTATCAGTTTGGTTTGGGCAAAAAAACAAATAATTTTTCATTGGTTTGGTGTCAACAATTGACAATTTAGCCTTCTGCGTAGTGCTGAAGAATGACTCCAGCCGTAGGAAAATAGGGTTACTAAAAATAGGTATTCACTTATCTACAGCAACAAGATTTGCTTTTCTTTTAAAGGTTGAGAAAAGAGCAAAAAATTATTTTCCTTGCACAAAACATGCAGTTAACCCAAAAGGTATTTCCCTTTTACCTGAAACATTAGATAGGCATCTGCAGCACAGGGTCTGAGACTTTTCGGCGGGATGTTACTAGGAACTTTCAGCGCTTCCAGATTAACTTCCGGGAGACTGACATCATCGCTTATGGATTCACTTGCTTTGTCCTCGGCAACGACTCTCTCAAAAACCAAGAAGACTAACTGCCGAACTGTTGCACCTGCTGTGTTGATTGTCGTTGAATCTTTCGTGAAATGAAGTCGGAAACATAGAACAAGATTCTGGAAAAGAAAAATTTGGAGATGGTTAAGGCGCTCAGAGAAATAACTGTTGACTAGTTTTTAATCAAAGCAAAGACGAAATGAAAATACTAAAATGCTTAAAAAAATAAACACTCTGCCATAAACCGTACGTCTTGGATTATCAGTTTAGGTTGTAATTTTTTAAATTTTTCAATGAGTTCAACTCCAAAGACAGGGCCACATATTACAATAAATTCTGTTTAGTTTTCTTCCAACGTATGTATTAAAATTACTTTTATCTGTAATTTGATTAGATTTTTGTTTTTCATCTACATTCTCTAGTTAGGTTGTTCCTCCAACATGTTTATTTCTTGAGCTAAAAATTCATTTTGTGTTCTGTCGGGCTGATCCAATGGGTGTGAAGTTTTTTTGGATACCATTCTTCGTATCAACAACTCTTTATTTGTGTATTTTTTGTTCAATTATTTTTTCATTGTACCGAGTTGTTTGCTTTAGTTTTGTTAAACATGTAACATCTGCCCTCAAGTTTTTCTTTTGGCACATGAAGTAGTTTCAGTTAATATCTTATTACATTTAAATTTTTGAAATAAATATCTGTCTGTCTATCGATCTGATCAATGGAAAAAATTACATTGACACAACTTTATTGGCTTTGTGTGCACTCATGCGCACTGGGTGTCCTCTGAGACTTTAGGGGAAAACATTCCAAACTTCTTCAATCAATGATCCAATGGCATTCATTGAAAAAAAGAATAATGTCTTTATTACTTTAAAATAAAATGCTATTAAAGTTCTTACTTGAGCATTTCTAAATTAAAATTTTCCAATATCAGCAATTCTATTGTTTTGAAAACGTTGTGAAATGATGAAAAATTGACTTGCATGTAATAATCCAAGTCTTTGAGAATTATTGAATTTTTCTCAGTTTTGGCCAGTAAAACTACATAGCTGTTATGAGAACAATGATTTTAATGATCCGTGTGCAATTAAATATAATTACTTACTTTGGCTAGGACATCGCTATGCACGACTGAGTTGGTGGTTAAAAGTAAAGTGACACTTTGAAGAATTTTAACCTCTTCGGTTCCTGATTCCATAAGAGTCCATAAGGTGTCAGTTATGCATCGTGCGCCTTTTTGGTCAACCGCCTGATGCATAATGAGCCTCTGAATAGTGCTTAAGCACATCTGTCAAAACCAAAGGAATACATCAATTATTGGTAACCATTTAAGCATTTTCTTGTCTGAGTCCTTAAAACATGTACCTAACTTAATACAGTTACTACAGCAGTTAAAAAGATAAACTTATTAAGTATTTCTGTATACTTTAATCTTGAATCAAATCGAATGATTAAATAAATATAGACTATTACTAAAGTTGAAGAATGGACAAGAGCTGAAGCAGAGGTTAGTTTTCAGCCTTTCAAATCTCTGTTCATACTTTAATTATTAACGGAAAACAAATGAGCACAACAGCTTGAAGCTTTAACAGTACAATCGAGAAACAGGAAATAACAGATAGTTCCTCTCAAAATCTGATGGCATCAAATTATCCTAAAATTGAAGAATTTAAACCCAGGTGCTTTTTTCTTCCTCCATTGGACTTACATTGGATACATTCTTTTCGTAGGTATTAATGAAAGAGATCAAAATTGCCTTGGTTTGAACTTGCAAGAATCTTTCCACATTTTCGAAATATTTCAACTGGAGAATTCGATAAAAGTCATTACCTACTTTTTTGAATAAAGCTCACATAATCATGATTACGATAGGACAGTTTTATTTCTTCCATGTACTTAATCCTCTTATCCTGAAGAATTCCTTGATTTCTACAGCTGTTAGCTGTTCCTCGCTGTTAAGCTGTAAAAAGGGAATGTAATCACCTTGACAATGCGCTGATCTTTAGTCTCACAGCCTTGGATGATCGGATAAAGCACTTGGTTGACCGTGTAGTAGATGGGTGTTTGAGGAGTTGATGTTGCATTTCGCAGTTTGATTATGCCTTCTTCACAAGCCTAGAAAAGAATTGAATTAAAAACCGTCTTTAGTCCAATGGATGTAACAGTTGAACTACTGAGACACTGTCTTTCAAAAGTGCGCAACAGCAGTAGGCCCTGGACTCATAAGGGTAAAGTTAGTATTGCTTACAGTTCCTTAGAAGTTACTAAGCAGCAACGAATGTCGATACCACTACTTAGTGGGCTTTGATAGCTGCGCATGGAACCTTCGCCGGGGAAAATCAGATAGGATTCATCAGTGCTAAGTGAGTGTGTAAGGAAGTGATAACACAGACAATACTGGTTAACTTTCTGTTTTCTGATAGATAGATGAAGCATAACTCTCCTCGATAAATGTTGGGAGGAGTGCGAAAATACAGTGTACTCAGTGGGATATACAAGCTACATACGTACCTCCTTAATTTGAGGAAATTTCTTTCGGGTTTCGATTGATAGATTCTTGAGGTCATTCAGAAGACTCTCCAGAAAAGTTTTTGAGGCGTCTCCACCGCTTTTACGGCTGAGAGCCATTATCGGCCATGGAGTTCCTTCACAAGCTAAAAAATGGGAATTCTTTGACCTGTCATTCGAAACAATGCAATTTTCCTGGCAGCACGTATACGAACTAGTCGGCCATATTATAATGACGTCGGTAAGGCGCTATCAAATCAAATTTCGTAAACAATAACTTATTGTTCTCCAGGAAAAAGATACCATAGAATTTTGGTGTTTATCAGAAATGACCTTACAAAGAAAATGTGCGAAAGTACTGTAAGTTACACAAACTGGAACTGATAACTGATAAAAGTCATTATGGTCAATAAACAACTGTTTTGATTTTAGAACTGTCACTCGTGTCAAAAACTTAAGGAAAGGAGGGGAAGGAAAGGACAGAGTAAGAAAGGGGAAAATTCTTAGACCAATCAAAATCCTCCCCATGTGAGCCCGGGAACTCTACTCTCTTTTAAATAAACGCTTTTTTCCCTTGTCATAAGCTGATTTTCTAGTGTGCTTATCTTCATANGGAACGGTCAGACGTAGGGGAAAGGTTCAGGCTGAACCGTTCAGCACAGCGCAGCGTCAGTCACCGGGTGGGGAAGAGAGTCCGGGAGGGGACACTTCCCCTCGAGTGAAATAGAAAAAGGCAGAATCCTTCGAAGTTTATATTAATGATTCTTAGCCCTAATAGGTGAAATAAACGTTGTTGACTTCCCTGAACTTAATCTTAAAAAAGTCTCTGAGTTTTTTGAAGACAGTTCGACGGTGAAACTACTAGACTACGTATCTCGTTTGCGGTGTTAAAAAATGTTCGCTCTCATTTTATTTTTTAAAGGACAACAAATCAATATTAATTCTTGAAATTCTCACAGAGGTTTCTTCGTATGGTCAAGAAAAATCACGGAAGTTCTCGAGAATTGGCGTTGAGTAGTTTTCCATTTGAAAAATAAAGTATAACAGGAAGTCCACAACGTTGCAAACCGAGCTACGTGGTCTCGTAGTTTCACCGCCGGGTTGCTTTGTAAGTCAGCCCTTAAACGTTCATTCTGAACAAAATGATGTCTTGGTACCTATTTTTAATTTTTAGATTTTACTTACCCCTAATCCAAAGGCTCATTACTCATTGATTTTGTTTTGGACACGATGCTATGGTCGAAACGAAATAAATAAATGAGTGGTGGTGCAGGAAAATAATGACAGGCCTACAGAACTTTTTAATAATTTACTTATTTTTCATATCATTACTTACTTATTTGTTTTTAAGTCTCATTTTTAGTTTAGATTTTTTATCGGTAGAACACGTGTTAATCTGGAAAAGGCGAATCTTTTGTCCAGTCGCTCCTGATGCGCCAACATATTTTCAAGGCAGCAGGAACAATGCAAAATTTTTGGGATTGAAAATGAAAACTCACCTTATGTTTTCCAGAGATCTTAATGCAGCGATATTGCTCGACAAAACTGCTCTATTATCATGAAAAAGAAGANGGGGGGGGGGGGGGGCAGGATCTTAATATATTTAGCGACTTCCGTGGTTCGAGATAATATGCTTAAAGAGAGAAGAATTTTAAATATCAGCGATTGGAGGGCGAGTTAGAAAGATGTTCTTAAAGTGTAAGACATAAATCGAATCGTTTATTTCGAAATAGCACCAATTCTAAAGAAAGAGGAATAGGAAAAAAATGGAATTAATTGTCAGACGACACGAAAAACTACCTATTGAGCAATGAAAAATAGGCGATTTTACGCACCTTGGACGTAAAATAAATAATGTGTACAACAGAATTTAAGATTGAAGGAGAGGAACAAATACTCATCATTCAAAAACGAGACGTTGCTTCCGTAGAGCAATTTTGATTGTTAACGAGACACTCATTTTGGAAATGGAATTGAAAAACTTCATGCTATTAATTTGTTCAAACCATACTGGTACTCTCAATGTTGCGCCTTCAATTTTGCGAGAGACCATTGACGCTACTGTCAAGTATACCTCACCTAGGGACTGATGACGTCATACGTCCACGTCCATTACGCAGTTGGTCGGTGACCAGCGGCTGTTGATTGGTTAACGGCTAACCTCCTCTGTTGTTTGACAATCGCCTCGTGCGTGGCTTTCGATCATATTTTTGACTTTCCTTAGGCTGTATATTTCCTCAAAATGGTAAGAAACTTGTTAAAATCATTCTGAAAGCTATTATTTTAATCATAAATACTACCGTGATGTGTCTCGCCTCTATTTAACGCGGTGTAATCGAATTCAAAATTGGATGCAGCGATAGGCTGACACACTTCACAAGCAGGTTCAGCCTGCTAATTCTTTTAAATTTTGGAGGCATTGAGCCCTTTACCGTCTCTATTCATTAATTCTACCGGAATGTGCAACACAACCCCCTTGTTTATGACCCATGAAATCGGGGAACCCTAAACCCTTAATCACCGATGAATCTTCCGCATGCATGGTGGAATCGAGTAAGCAATGACCAGGTTGAGGGTGGCAGGAGAAATTCAGTTGTCATTGTAGAACTTCCTAGTTCCATCGAAATATCGTGAATAAGTGAATTCTCAGTAACAAAAGTAACCATCAAGAAAGTTATTAAACTAATATTATTATTAAGTATTGAATCAGTGAGGATTAAGTGATGAAAATCTCATATTTTGCGTCAGTCTTCCACCTGAACTTTGATGATACTGATTTCTGATGATCCTCTCTTTGATGTATATACTGAATGAGGAACATTCTCTGTACGATAAACACTGGGTTTCTAATGCCTGGGAAACTCGGGGAGATTAAATGTATAGGTGGTTGAGAAGTGAATGCATGCGTGAGATATTGATTAGCTTGTGGTAGCTTCGTTGCTGAGCTGCCTCAGCGCTCTCTTCTGATAGTCTGTAAACCCGCTGTGAATTCCAGCGCATAGTTTGAGCTTCAATTGATACTTTGCGCTGATCTATTTTTGTTTTTGTGCCACTTGTGAAATGAACGATATGGTCGGGGAGATGCTAAATCTAAGAATTTCAGATAATCTGGGAAGTCAGGGAGAAAAAGAAAGAAATTTTGTTGGACTAAGACACCTTGTGACACCATCCAAATGTGTTAAAGTAGCTATGATGAAATAATTTTCAATCGCACGCTCGTATGATCTGCCATGATTATAAATTCTCGTTTCTGAGCTGTATAAAAGCAAGGTTTGTTAGGGTCATTCCATGTCAACTCAACCAGTGACTTTTCTGACGATCTTCGATTTTGATGAAACCTGGTGAGCGTAATGATCCGTACGATGGTATGAAAATCCCTAAAATTTCAGCTCTCTGCAACCATTGGGCCCAGAGTAACGGGGGCTCAAAGATGGCAAAAAACCCCAGGGCTGTGAACCCATTAAGTAATAGATTTGTTTTGTTAACTTTACCTAGAGCAGAAATTGAAGTTGTTCCAACTTCATAACCCACCCAAAGAATTTGTACATTTTGAAGCTTCCTGCTTCTCCCCAATGGGCCTGTTGCATGCAAGAGATACAGCCGCGCGAATAGACTTTTTAAAGGTTAAATGACACGAAAATTACGATGGTCACATTAATAAAGTCTGAAATACACTCCTTACTGCGCAATTTGCGTTGTTAGGAACGCGCTTTTTCAAATTTCCCGCGTCTGGGGGCAGTTTTCTAATCACCGGAAACGAGCAAACGGCGGGCTCGGTGATTTCCGGAAGATGCCGAGTCATTGTTGTTATTTTTTCCTTCAGTTTGTTTACAAACCCAACGTGATCTCTCATAGTGGTCCATATACGCTTTATGCGCTAACCAAATCGATCAACTTTTAAATATCCAACGCAATCCTCCTACATTTCATTTCCTGATATCACGAGCTCCGATTTTTAGGTTATGTTGTCAGTTTTAGTTGACCGGAAATAGCCGCGAGTTGCCGTTAATTGTTTCAGTTAGAAAACTGCCCCCAGACGCGGGAAATTTGAAAAAGCGCGTTCCTAACAACGCAAATTGCGCAGTAACGAGTGTATTTCAGACTTTTTTAATGTGACCATCGTAATTTTCGTGTCATTTAACCTCTGAAAAGTCTATTCGCACGGCTGTATCTCTTGCATGCAACAGGCCCATTGAGCTATGATGAAACAATCTTCAATCGCACGCTCGTATGATCTTTAGTGATTATACTTTAGTCTCTGAGCCAAAACACTACTCAACATCAGTTTTAGGAGGGAAAAAAACCCGGATCAGTATCTGCTGCCAAGTAGACCATGAGTAATAAGACAAGAGTTTAGCAAAAAGACCATCTAGGTAATTCTTTGAAGAAACAGACACATTATCTTGCAGCTGAATCTAGACAGAGGAATTAATGATGATAAAACTATATTTTGCGTCAGTCTTCCACCTGATACACCCTTGATGATTTGTTCTATCTGACGATCCTCTTTACCAGTAGTTTCAGGGATGAAATTCTTTTCTAGCCAAGTGTATTAACTGAGCTATGATGAAACAATCTTCAATCGCACGCTCGTATGATCTTTAATGATTATACTCCTGTTTCTGAGCCAGGCAAACTTGAGGCAGGCAGAATCCAAAATTTTGCGATCAATAGCATCCTCATTGATATAATCTCCCAATGTTTAGTTCCAATTCTGAGTTTTTTTTATCATTTTTTTTTTTTTCCAGTTTTGTTGTTTGTGCATTGCAGTTTGTGGCTTTTTAATTTCTACGCTAATATCAATCATCGTGTTTCTGATTTTTTATGGGTCTTTATATTTATCTAATGATTTTTGTATTTTGTTTTTTCAGGGTAAGCTGAAGTGTTATGAGTTGAGAAAGAAAGACAAGAAGGAGTTGGAGAAATTGCTCAATGACTTGAAAACAGAATTGAGTCAGCTCCGAGTGGCCAAAGTGACGGGTGGTGCTGCGTCAAAACTCTCTAAAATGTAAGTAAATCCTATCTGAAAGAACAGCAGTTTTTACTCTTACTGAGAACATAAAACGTAATTCTAATCAGAACAGAACACAGAATCTTGATGCTAATTAAGGAGATCGATTTTATTGCAGCTGACAATGAGTCACGGCCGGAGTAATAATGATAAGAACAAAAAAGGCTGTTGATACTTCATTTGTGTCATGAAATCTGTCAGCATATTATAATCTTGATTGAGGTAGAGATAGATGTCAAGGGACTTTGAAAATTGAAAGAAGTTTTTTCAGTGAAAACTTCATCAATAGAAGGAAAAAGATTTTATGAGAGCACCTACTGTGTGCGACAGTTCCGCCTAAAAAGACAGTGAAAAATGTAATGTGATTTCAAACATGAAAATGAAGTGACAGATTTTTTCTCCTTGGTCTACTATTTCGTTCAGTAAATCAGTTATGCTGGTCTCAGAATCGTGTTTTGATGCTAAGTTCTTGTAGTTCAGCTAAAAATACGAAGATCTCCTCGAGCAGCAACTACCTTTATTCAAAATTAACCAAGATATCGAGCTTTAAAAAAGTTCATTTACGGAGTCATCCACTGCGGTAGTGACACCCTTGCTTTCATCCGAGTTTCATGTTGAGTAACCAGTGCAAGTGTGTATTCCCCTTAACTGATGAAGCTAGGTGGAAGAAACCCAGAGTATCACTACAGCGATGGGTGACATCATAAAACGACTTTTTTAAAGCGCGATATCTCAGTTAATACTGAACGTAAAAAGTTGCTGTTTGTACAGATCTCATTATTTTTAGCTAAAGAATCAAGCATTATAATTTTCACATTTCTGTGACCAGCGCAACTGACCCATTCAACCAGAATGGATAATAAGTAAAATTGTTGTGAAGTAATCTCATCGAGTGAGAAATCTCACTATGCCATTGACTTTCTATGCTCTCGGGCGGATCCCAAAATCTTGCATTTTTAGGTTCATTACTCCAATGACACAACTCTAATTTTTTCAACTGTTAGTCTTAATCAATTATTTTTGTGTTAACAGTAAGATCGTGCGCAAGTCCATTGCCAGGATTTTCATTGTCATGCACCAGAAACAGAAAGAGAACTTGAGGAAACTGTACAAGGTAAGTTAAATGCTAATTTGTTTGTAGCCACTCTGTTTTTAGATTATTTCAAAAGGATAGTAACTTAACATTTTAGTGGAAATCAAGCAATTAAGATTCTCAAAATGCTCAGAAGTGGCTCTAAACATGTAAACTGATTCAGTATTCGTACAGTGAAAGCTCGCTAAGTTGGATTGTGTAGGGGCGGAAATAAAATTCGACTTGCGTGGCATTTCGTCTTACCATAGTAGTTCAACTAAGCAAGTTTTAACTGTACTTAATGCTAGATGAGGCGCCTGGCAGTTTTTAAATGTTTCACAGCTGAAAGTAGAATGATGTAATTATGATCCCTTTTCTCTAAACTACTGATTCCCCTCAAGTGGCATAATTCTTGCAGATCAGTTGGTAGGTGGAAACTGTTAGGGGTCGTCCAAATTACGTAAGGCTTTTAGGGGGGGGGGGGTCTCTAACAGTCTTACGGTGCCTTACGAGGGGTGAAGGGGGGGTAGGGCTGAGCCTTACGTAAGCTTTCCAGCCTATATTTGAAGAAAATGCAAAAATCCATTTTTTGTCAGGTTGATAATGAAATTCAAGATGAAATAGATAATATAACCGATTGCTGAACGATCAGTCCAGGCTCCTGTCATTTCTCTTGATTCCCACTTCTCCACTCCGCGGGACGATGAGTAGTGACTTCATTCTTGTGTCAACTTTATACTTTCAACCATTCCAAAGATAAAAAAATCTTCAATTTTGCCCCACGTGTTTTTGTTTATCGAACTAATTGTTTCATTAATATTTCTTATGAACTTACTTTAAAAATTTAGTTTCACTGATAAAAATATTGGCCCTAAAGTGTCATTGTTTTTCAAAAAGAACACGTAATGCTTAGATCTGCGATAATGCACAAAAAAAGGGGCGTCAGTCGAGCCTAACGTAATTTTTAGAGGGGGGGGGGGATATGGGATGCCTTACAGTGCCTTACGAGGAGGGAGGAGGGGTCTGAGAATGGGGAAAAGGTGCCTTACATAATTAATGGATGGCCCCTTAATGTGTGACCTGCGATCCATGGGAGAGGGGTGTTCAGTTCTGTGGAACCAATTATCGTGACAAGCTCTCTTTGTCAAATTGGATAAAATGAATAAAAAGTAAGTTCTTAGTGGAAAATTTTCTCCAGCGTCAGAAGTTGTAAGTTGCAAGCAGTATAGTTCACTTTAGTACCATCAGGGTTCACGCATGAAATTCATATGCTCTAAGGGAGAGGATGGCCAAGGAGAGCGTTAGACCGTTTTGTTTTCACGTTTTAGAAGATAGAGACCTACATGATGAAATGACGGTGAAACTGCAAAAATGCTTATCGTGGTTATGGTGTTTCAAAATCTCCGCTACTATTTTATGTTTTAAAAATAGACAAAACCAGCATTATGACTTGGGGTTTTCACACAACGCTCATTTTTTTATTGTTGAATTTTCAGAAAATTACGTTCGGTAGTTTTCTATGCAGAAGATGAAGTATGACAGGACGTCAGCAACGCCCGAAACAGAGATACGCATTTCTGCAGTTTTACCATCGAAAAGCTCAATGAGAGGGAGAAAGGGAAACTCCCCAAAAACGTCCTTTCTTCACATACTACACGAAACTACATTTTAATTTAATTGAGTCGGTTTCTGTTAGACAGGCGTAAGTCCAAAAAATCATGAGCCTTGGCTTACGTTGATCTCACTTGACGCTAAGGCTCATGAGTTTTTGGACTTACGCCCGGCCTGGCTAGCAGAAACCGATTCAATTCTGGGCTACGAACTTGATAGTTGAAACTTTGAGTGTGCAGCTTTTTTAAACTTGAATCATAACTGGTGGTCAGTTAAAAAATTACGAGTTTTTGTTTCCAAATGCTAGCAAAACATAGCGCTCCGCAGCGTTACCAATATTTCAATTTTGTATTTTTTCCATCTTTTTCATTACTTTCTCTTTTCCAGAACAAAAAATACAAGCCCCTGGATTTGCGACCAAAGAAGACCCGCGCCATCCGTCGACGACTCAGCAAGAGGGAAACTAATGCTAAGACCCTAAAACAGATCCGAAAGACGTCCATCTTTCCTCCCAGAAAATTCGCCCTAAAAGCCTAGATTAAGTACCTCTTTCTCATTTTTGTTTCTATTTTTTAAGAAAAATACAGTTTTTCCACTCAAAAGGATGTTATCACTTTTTTTCCATCCAATTATCTCAGCCCCCTTGTTCATCCAAACGCTCGTTGAGGAACGAAACAGGAAGGCTGACAAACACACCAAAAATGTTTTCATGGGATTTGTCCCAAGTTTGAATCGCAGGAATGAAACTTCTGGGATTTTTCCCAGTTACCATCTCCATGGGACGAGGCTCATACGGTCCTGCGACTAGTTTGCGTGGGAAGATGAAGTAGATAAAGTCGAGTATGTAACTGGGATTAAAATAACAATTGCACTCAATTGACAATTAGACACATTATTTTAACTAAACAAACCTGAACAATGGAGTATTCAACAAAATATCGCACAATTCGTTTACACTTCTTCTTCCTCTCCCAGTGGGTCCTAGGAGTAAAAGGACCATACTTTGTACTGGGAAAAATATTGATTAACTCAATATTTTCCCCAACTTCGTAAGTGGGATTTTTCCCTGGGACAAATCTCGTGAAAAGGCCCGTGGAGACAAGGCCCTAAGCTGATGAAGCCCCTCTAACAGATCTTTATTTTTATAGATCAGCTCAGAAAGGTCAACCTCTTGAAGTCTGTCTGTAGTATGGTATTGTGTAAGATAGAAACTCCTATTTCTTCATTTGTATTTGTGAATTTTAAGCAATCAAAAATCTAGCTTTTCAGTTGTGACGAATACTCCAATTTTTCCAAAGTTAATTACGTTCAAAAAGTTACTTAACGTCACACTCATACGGAGTGCATTCAATGGAGAATGACCTTTAGATGAAAACATTTAATCGGAATCCCCTGTGTGAGCACGATGCAGCCGCGATTCAATTTTAATTTGATAACTAATAATCAGTGATTGCCAAGTACTCCTCAACTTTAACTCGTACATGGCATTACTGGGCGACTCATTTTTTAAATCTTACGATGTAGATGGACTTCCTTTGCATGCTTACATCCAATTACGCTCTCTGGAAAACAGCCAATATTGCTATATTTGTAATTCCCATCGTAGGAACATTAAATTTACTTTGATAGTGCTCTATGGATCAAATTTCCTACTTATATTTTTTAATTGTACAGCACATAATGGATTTTTCACAGGCAAATAATCAAACTAAGCTTTTTGAAAAGTCAAAGTTTGCCAGTTAACCAAATTTTTCATGTTTTGATTGACTCAATTCTTTAAGGTTTCAAACTGCAAACATAGTAAATATTTTTCATTTCATGAAACAATGCAAAATTTTAACATAAATGCTCACTCAAGTGCTGTTGATAGTTGGAGCGGCCCTATTATGGGCTTTAATTAAATTAGGAATTCTCTTTTATTTCCTCGAAGCATTGAACCCTGAACCTTGGAAATCCAACAAAAACTTCTTAATTTTAATTTGAATGAAAATATTTGACTGTTAGCCTGTGTAACTTGAGCAAATCTAATTTTATCATTCCTAGAAAAAAAGCTTGAACTGTTAATTAGCTAGCTATAGGTTGGACAAGGTTGGGAACAAAAAAGTAGGGAAGACTTCCTTGCACATTTCGTTTACTTCAAATGGTAAAAAAGTAAAAAATCTACAATATCCAAGCTAATATTTCAATGATAATAATATGTAGCTAATATTTTAGGGTGTGAAATATTCCTCCTGGCAGTTTGAAATTTCAGGAAAATCATACACCAATATCCTGAGATGGTAAAATCAAAGGTCGTATTTAATGTTCGAGCTTGACAATCGTGGTCCGCGCGGTAACTTCTGTTTCTTCTTCACCTTCTTGATTTGATTTTCGCTAAAATTTGATGGAACGTACTTCTTTGCTGGTTTCTTGTAGTACGGGTTTATGAAGTCTGGTTTCCGATCGGTAATGTTTAATTCTTGACTGACCTGTAGAACAAAGTGGTCTTAGGTTGGTAAAATAGTTGATTAGATGATAAATTGGACTGGCAAAAAGGACCTATTATTTCTTGCACGTAGAATGTTTCTATGCATAGACATACAATAATAGTTCCTTTTCTGATAGCAAAATGCACTTCTCTTAAACCTCCTATGACAATTCTGTTGGACTGAGGTTAAATAAGAGCCATAATCTAAACAATAGACAATGTGGCAGCTCCTATTTTCAGAAGCAAGGAAGACATTAGATCAGCAGACAGTTTAGCCCTGATGAAAAATGATCAACAATTTTTATTGACAGTAAAATAGGTACTTCCTACATTAAGAAACATTTCTATATAAGAGACATTAAAATTGATTTTCAAGAATTTTCTTAAAAAAAGGATGGCTTCTAAATTCCGTTCAGTTTACATTTTGATTGGAGGATTCCTCTTGAACTCATCAAAATGATAAAGTAGAAATATGTTGAGGAATTTTCACAAAAATAAATTTAAAAAAAAGGATGATGAAGGAACTGGACCAAAATTCGCCTGCATTACCTTTCTCCTAATTTTCTCTCGTGTTTTACTTTTCTAACAGGGAACCAACAACCTGATACCTTTCAACATTCTGTGTATATAAATCTTGGTTGTGCTGGAAACTTTTCACAAAATTTTAAGTTCGAGGGTTGCTAAGTTCCCTGTTTAAAGGATGAACCATTATAAAAAATCAGGAGACTTCTTTTTTTAAAAACCCAATCCAAGTACAACTGGTTTCTGTAACGGAACATCTGAAATAAAAAAAGGAGCCAAAATTTTAGAATTGCTTACTAGATCTATTAAGGTGGTTGTGATTCGGTCTAAAAGTTCTGTTTGATTGCTAAATCTAACGCTCCATTCGTAAAGCACCTTCCATTCATGACTGTCTTTCAACACTGCATGAGATATCTCAGGAAAATGTAGCAGTAGTTCACCAAACAAGGCTGTGTTTTCAAGTATGTTGGAGAGAGCTGAAAAAAAAAAAAAAAATTGAATGAGAGCATCAAATAAAGAGTCTTCCTCATTGGAGACTGTTGAAATAATAACTCTGAAAAAAAAATTTTCTCTCTCTTTTCCTATTTTCTTTTATCACCTCTTCCGTCAATGTGGATTTTCTTGTAGTGATAATGGACCACCCGCATTTTTTTCATTTAAACTATAAGTTCTCAATTTCATCCACATAGTTTTACCTTCTGCCACACACAGACGCTTTTATGGTCAAGGATAGTTATACTAAATCAAAACTCTGTCTAATTTATATGATAGGCAGACAAAGACACACCTTCTCTAGTTTCTTGACTTTCTGGAAAACTGGTCAACCCTGGCACATACCCAGAACTTTCTACTATGGATCGACTTGATTTGAGCACCTGCAAAAAGGAAACAACCAAAGATGAGGGTCATTTCAGTTACTTAAACTGAAAATATTTCTTTCGGAAAAGACACTAATAAGTTGACTTCCGAATTCAGGGGCGGACCGGGACCATACAAGTGAGGTGTGCAGGGTTCTTTGGTTGTACGATCATAAGTACTGAGACAGCCAAAACTCTAGGCTTTCACTGCGTAAGAAAAGTCCAACTTGACCAGAGACAAAACTGCTAAAATCGAACGAGGAAAACATGAAGGGAGAGGCATAAAACCATCCAAGCAAGATGTGAAGCGACAAATTTGAGAAAATGCTTCAATATAGTTGTTTCTTTCCACAGACAATTCAATTTTTCCATGTTGCCGTCTTTTTTTTCTGACAAAAAGAAAAAACACAATGATAAAAAATTGCAATAAATTCAGTGCCAATCATGATAAACATCTACTAAGTAATAATTTGGCTCAATGTGAAGCACGCATGATGCACCAGATTCAGGTTACTATTAGCTTAAAAGAACAGTTTCGAGTAAAAAGCAGTAAAATTCAGAAAAGCAGGGGAAAGGCATGACCTGACACTCAGTAGAAGTTCCGACAGGAGTAGTCGTTCATTTACAGCATTACCCTTTGATACGGAAGTATGCTTGATACAACCTAGGTGCCGAACTGGTCCATGACAAGATCAACTGAATTTTTAGCGTCTAATGGAAACTTATGATTCCAAGACTCAACTAAAGTGTGAGAGAAATTGATTGATACCTTGAAAATACTTTCAGCTGCAGTGGCAATCATGAGATTCTGCCGTTTCTCACCAGCCAAAGTTCTGATCCGCTTCACTGCCTCTAGCTGCTTGACTCGTTGTTGAATGAACAATCTCTTAACTGAAACTTGAAATAAGGAAAGTACAGTGGAACAAAGATCAGCTACCTTAACATTTCAAGTGAGTGATGATAATGTGACAGTCTTTAAAATACTTTCGGATTTATTGTTCGAGAAAAAGGATACATAGCTCTTCTGCTTGCTTTGAGTCGGAGACATCGTTTAAAGCCCCTGAACGAAATAAAGAAGATAAAAGGAGGAAATTGATCACCGCGAGAGGACCGTAAAATTTTTGTGACATCTCATTCGGGTTCTCATGAAGTTCCGATCTTCGCTGCTTTTTCAATGCTTTCGGTTGTAAATCTACCTTCGCTTTCGGTAGTTGAGCACGAGCGGTTTGGGCTGCTTATTATTATTGACTCATGTCCTCGTCTTCAAATCTCCCTAGACCTTAAAACTGTGCAAGCTGTGAAAATTCACGCGTGGGCTATTCTGAAACCTCTTAAAGTCAAATTTTAATAAATAAGCTACTCAAAGTTACGTGAAATGCCGGTATAAACAAAAGTAGTAGGCATTGATAAAAGTCGACTTGTGATAAGAAAACTAACCTGCAAATGCCTGCGATCGGTTGCCAACTTGATGTTTTCGGTTCCGTTTGTTTCAATGCAGCACAGCAACCAGTATAATATGACTTAAATTTTAATGACTTAAGTATGCACTTCTTTATCACTGTAGAAGAGCTTCACTTTTGTTCTTGGAGCTTTTGGGAATTTTTTAACGTTTAAATATGTTACCAACCTCCCTCGTTTCTCGTCGATGACTTGGCAGCGTTGCGCAGCTATCAGGCTAATCGTATTATCTTTTATCAAGGAGTTTTCTGTTCTTATCATAAGACCATTGTTTACTTCCCACCGGGCACCGATTCTCCTCAAGTCCTCTCCAATTTTCATATTCCCGAATCATTGTCCCGTAATATCATATCCGCCTTTGTCAGAGGTGTGTCTTTCGAATTAGGAATTCGTTTTTATCTTGCATAACGTCCCCCCTCATTGTGTTTGATTTCGAGTGATATAAAGAGTCGTGTATGCACAATGCATTCACAATCACAACCAAGTTAAGTGTTTCCCTTCTACCTGCGGGGATCTAAACCTCAAATCGAGTTCTCGACAATTACCACTGTCCTTGAGCTGAATAATTTGTGCTTGTTAACAGCTCATTATCTCTCAGTTCCATGAATGGGCAAAGTTACTGGCTAACTTCCTGTTATCTCATTAAAGTATAGACATTTTACGACCCAGTGAAACTTTTTGCTCATCAATTCTGAAGCTTTTATTAATAATTCTTTACTACAGTATTCCGCCAGAATGGTGCTCCGTGTCAATCACATTTTTAAACATTTGAACTCTCAAACCATCACGCAGATTGCTTTGCCATCCCTCGTCACGAGTGAGCCCCTGCCACTGAGAAATGGGAAACGTTACTTCTCCTGTGGAGCGGCCATGAGGAAACGATATGTCCAATTCGCAAAGCACAAAGGCGGGCGCATGAAATTGGGTGTTCAGCTGGGCGATACCGACTCTGACATCATTGAAATCAGCTCTCTGGATGCCGGAACCCCGAACACTCTCCTTGATTTTCTCAACCTGACATCGGACAGGCGCAAAGTGGTCAATCGGTGAGCTGTCACCCTTGCAATTAACTTCAACTTATTTGAATGTCCAATGGAAATGCCAATATTTCAGTTCAGAGTTAATATCAATCAGTAAAAGCCTCCAGTCCTTGCAGAGTCAGTGAGCCTGTATGAATTTCCATCTCAGTCTGTCCACTCTCATTGCCTTTATTGCTGAAATCCCAGAAAATCTGGGATACTTTTTCTTGAAACTTTTTATCATGATTGCGGGAGAAATTTTTTTCTTCAGATGTGTGTAACTTTAAGAGGCCTTACTGTTATGTATTGTACCCTGAATTTACTAGATCGGAACGCCTTAAAACATCATAGGAAACTATTGGCTATGTTGTATGGTTTATTTTTCAGAATTAATGATAATGATCTCCACGACCTCTCTAATTTTTTACTTTTGGTTTTTCAGGGTGGTAGCCGAGGCCAAGTCTGTTGTCAATCCTAAGAACGTGTATTTTTACCCTCCGATTACAAATCCAGATAAAGTTATTTGCGTCGGTCTCAATTACAAAGGTCACTGCGACGAACAGAACAAACCGTATCCTCAGGAGCCCTTTTTCTTCTCAAAGTTCCCGAGCACAATTGTAGGACCTAATGATGAAGTGATTCATCCTCCAAATTCGAAAGTAAGTATCCAATCAGGTTTCTTGATTTTATTCCCGAAGGCTCAGTAGAAAAGGTCAGAGCCACCAAGTTTCAATTGAATGACAGTACCTACCGCAAACTTGTCCAGACAGTTTATTTAAGTAATCTCCCAAAAACGGTTGGAAATTTATCAAAGTTTTTGAGTCGTCCTCCGTGATTCGGTAGGAATTCCCTGCAATTTTAAGTCATGTCCATGACCATTTCCATTTTGATGAAACTTGGCAACGTATTGCGATGCAATAAGGCCCCTCGGACTATGCCCCCTTAATTGAAAAAACTAAATCAAAGGCAGTCGAGGAAACTTAAGCAAATCATCAAAATTTTGCGAAGTTCCAATTATTAGTTTATGCGAAAACTGTATTCATGTCACCTTTCATAAGCTGGAAAGTTTCAACCATCCGTAGGAGAGGTGATCTTGCCTTGGTTTGGAAAAATTAAAAATTGAGCTCATGGCTTTGCTGTCTACTTACAGGAGTGCCTAAATAACAAGCATCTTTAGTGAAAAGAAGTTGAACCAAGTGGAAGTTATACTCGTTAGATTTGCGATTCAAACATTCAGCTGCAAGGTGTATCGGAGTTTCAATCGGCTGAGATTGAGGCCCAAAAAAGTTGAACTGGGCCCTCTACTAGCACAAGTATTGCCTGGTTGTGCAATAAAATTTAGATATTTTGCATGGGGTATTGATGGCTCAAAAAGTATTTAAGCTGTTCAGAACATGTTTTGCCTCATGTTTTTTATTGTTTTGTGAACAACTCACCTTTCGAATTTTTAATCCAACGTAAGAGTAGGTAGTTGTAACAATGCCATTAATATATTTTATCTGGTACAAGGCCTTAGACTGGGAGGTGGAACTTGCTGTAATCATTGGTAAAACTGCAAGATGTGTTTTGAAAAATGATGCGATGGACTACGTTTTTGGATTCACAGTAGCTCAAGATATTTCAGCGAGAGATTGGCAGAAACATAAAAATAACGGTCAATGGTTGATCGGTAAGTTCTGTGCATTGATCTTCACAAAATATTCATGTTATTTTCAAACCTTCTTCTTTGAGAGATGAGGAACCTAAACCTATCCTCTGCTACAATATATCTAAACGCACTTATGCAAAAGAAGTCCATCAACAATTGGATTGCATTTTGCAAAAAGGAACCACAAGTATTCCAATGTTGCTGAGATTGTGCAACTTTTTGTAACTTGCAAATATGAACTGATGATCTACAAAAGTTCTATCTTTACACCCAGAAACTATAAATTCCATACAAAAATAACCTATGTAAATTTAATTTTTTGTAAGGTTTCAGTAATATTATCTCAAGGTATGTAAGTCACACAATCCCAGTGACATTGGAATGCTCTTGGTTCCTTTTTGCCAAATGCAATCCAATTGATAATTAAAAAAGAACAAACCTGCTCAGGGGTTGGATTGGACTTAAGGACGAGACCTTTCAAAAACACCTCAAATAAGAACAAGTTCTCACTGGGTAGATGATTAAGAGTCAATTTGACCATACATGACATTATTCTAAGCTGTTTCAATTTTCAACCAAAGTTGGGGCCAAAATACCCTCTTTAATGGGACACATCCTTTAGAGAAAAGGCACTTAAACTAGTTTACGATCTCTCGAATCGCATTGGCTGGAGTTGCTGAGCAAATGAGTGAAATTCCCTGACTTTGCCCATGAATTTTCTGACTGTTTCAGGCAACCCTAAACTCGAGGACGCTGTAGGTTTTTCAGACTGTCAGAAACTCTGAAGGAACTAAGTAGAAATGAATTAAATAAAAAAGAACTACATGTAGGTGCACCGTTGCGTGCTTTATGGTTTCTTTTTATTCAATTAATTTGTGCACAGTTTTTCCAGCTTGAATATGCCCAATTTATGTTCAAGTACAACTGTAAATGGAGGCCCAAGGATTAGATACAGGGTTTTTATTGAGATGATACGTCCCGAGTTTTTGGCGTCATTGAACTGGCATGCAATAAATCACATTTGTTAAGTCAAAAATCAAGGCAAAACTTCGACCTCCTAGCCAAAAAACAAACAATAGCCCCTTTCCATGAATCCAAAGGATCATTCCTAGTAAAAAAAAAAATTTCTAATTTTAGAGAAATAAAAAGAGGATTTGGCTTAAAAAATCGTTGCCCTCGACATATCAATTGCTATTTCGAAGGCAGGGTTCTTTTCATAGCCAAATCTCGTTTAAATTTTTCTGAAAATTAAATTTTTTTAACAACAATGATTTTCTGGACTCAAACACAGGGACTATTGTCCTCTTTTTTAGTAAAAAGTCAAAATCTGCCTAGATTTTTGACGAAATCAATTCAATACATCAAATGTCAGTTTCAAGGTGTCTACTGTAAAGAAAAAGTATGAATATACTGAAAAAGCACGGATTTCGGACGGCCGGTACGGATTTTCTGTTTTAAGGTACGGAAATTCGATATTTTCGTGGGAAACTCTAAAAAGTAGCCTTGAGGGTATACTATTTCCATTTACAAAGGTCCCGGTTCGATTCCTTCCCCGTGTTTTTCGGTTTATTCCTGTGTAATTCCATTATTCCACTTTCCCAATCCGAATGCAGTTAAAAATGCATGTGAGGCGAGGACAATGTAAGGAAAAGGTACCTAAGGAAAAAGCAAGGATTTTTAAGAATGGCCAAAAAAATGAATTCAGGTAAGGAAAAAGCAAGGAAAAAGTACTGAAAAAGTAAGGATCTTGAATTCCAGAATTGACAGGGTACCAATAGACACCCCGAGTTTGACCACAACTTGAATCTGGGACAAATCACCTCAACTCCAGCAGGCGGATTATTTAAATTTTGTGTTTGTCGGGTGGACATAGATGACATAGGTTAAATGGCAGAGCGTGATTGGTTGGCTATGTCTTATTGCTACTTTGTCGTGCCTTCGTCAGGTGGAATGGACAACATACTGTCGGAAACTCAAGAGGTGCCTTTAGCTTGTCGTGTGTTCCAACTGACAAAGACAAGACAAATCAGCGATAAGACACAGCCGTCCAATCACGCTCCGTCAATTAACCTATGTCACCTAAGTCCACTCGACAAACAAAAAATTTCAATTATCAGTCCTCAGCCCGAGAGACTCATGTATTTTCGATCCAAAACTTGGTCTAGCTTAGATTCTATAACTTACAAAAGAAACACCCTGATTAATTCTTTCACCGTCATTACAGCCAAAAGCATGGATACATTTTGCCCTTTGGGACCAGGTATCGTGACCAAGGAAAGTCTACGAGATGTCTACAATTTACAGTTGAAATGTGCAATTAATGGCGTGGAAAAACAGAACGGATTCACCAATGATTTTGTACACAACATCGATGATGTTGTAGCCTTCTTATCACAGTGAGTTAAATTTTCGATGTTTTTTTGTTTACTTTTCTTGTTCGGTTATGAAGATTCTCTTTTAATAATGCAATAAATCATTTCAGAAGTATGCCATATTTTTTGCAGTACTCTGCATCTATCGCCTTGAAAAGCCCCATAACTCCACTTGAATGCCATTTTCGACACAAAAATTCCAAAAACACCCCTCTCGTCTCAGTGACACGTGAACAAGTTTTTTCAGAATTTCATTAAAATCCATGTCAACTGTAGAAATTGGGATACTTCTAGGTGTAAAAGACATCTTCATATGAGGTGTTCTTTCAATTGATACATGATTTTCCCACTAAGTTTTCCGGGTTCCACAATTTAGGCATGTAATTTTTCTGTCTTTCTATATGTCGGTTCTTTCGACTTTCAAACCAGATTTTCAATTCTTAATGGTTTTTTCAATTTCCTGAATTTAACTTGTATTCCTACAGATTTCTTCGATTTCACTTGTAATGTAAACCAGTTAATTACTCTTCACAGTCTCAATTGGACAAATTTCTGTTAAACGGAACCAGGCATAACATTGAGTTCCTTTTGAGGATTTGGAGTCTCGGATAGCGCATTCTGTCAAATGGAACTAAGTGCCTTGGAGAAGCATTGTGAGTATAGGACGGAACAAGCATTGCGTTCCGCAATACCCGCCAATCCAAGCCTCCCTCTCCCTTCCTCCCCATATGGCACTTAGTTCTGTTTGATAGAAATATGTCCAATGGATCACTAGACAAGGTACGAATTTAAGCAATCTGATACATGTTTCTTAACCAGAATTTCACGTAAAACACGATTTACACAACAAAAATTACTAAAACTTACTCTTAACGAAGATATTAACGTTTATATTACACATTGGTCACGAGGAATTTGAACTGCCCGCTCACAAGAAACTCAAAGCTCTACGTGAGTCAAATCGCGCACTACAACGGTTTCAACAAGCTTCTCAATCGAGCAATGTTCATTTCCCACCATGTGTTGTTCAAACTATAAGTAATTTGCTATAGCTGAGCCAAAGCGTCAAGATCGAGGTTGCCAGATTTTTATATCGCAGAGACTGTCATGATAAACATTTAGCGCGCGATGTGAATCACGTAGAGCATTGAGTTTTCATGAGCGGATGGTCTGAATTCACGCATCAAGAATCATTAAATATCTTCGTAAGGAGTTGATATCGGTAATTTTCGTTGTACGCATCGTGTTCTACGTGGAATTTTGGTTGAGAAACATGAATCAGAATGCTGTAATTCGTACCTTGTCTAGTGGTCCATTGAAGCTAGCAAAATAAGTAAAATCTTGTAGTGTTTTAAAATCTTAGTGAAACCAGTATTTCTCTTTGATAATTTTATGAAAAATGTGTTAAGACTAAAGCGGTCCATAAATGTCTTTGTGAATTTGTTCAATTGTAAATTTACAAAAATAGGAAGAAGTTTCAAATAGATTTTCATTGACTGAATGAATAGACTGCACAGCCTCATCAGTATTCGAAAAGAGATTGCATTTTTTCGAAATTATGGATTCAATTGGTCCCTAATTTTGGTTCTTCTGCATGAAGACATCGCGGCTTTTCACAATTCATCCAAAGATTCAAAAGCACATATCTGCACATGCAGGTTTACCCTCAAAAATCGATGGCCAAATTGCTAAACCACATATCGCTGTTTGTGATATGGCAGACTTCCCGTCATACTTTATGTTTTCTTTGAAAAACCAGTCAACGTAACTTCTTGAAAACTTCCTTAATTTGTTTGCTCCGTCAGCAGAATATTCTGTATAAATTTCAAAGCATTAAGTTAGCATGTTTCTCTCGGCAAAAATAAAATTGGAGTAGAAATTTTGAAACACCGCAATGGAGGTACCTCGTTTCGCACTTTGGCCATCGATACTGAAGGTACATAGCGTGATCAAAGTGTCATCATCCCAGCTCTGTGGGAATTTTTGTGTTGATTTCTTCATCTCAGTGTCTGATTATATCACATCACATTTTTCTTTTTCAGTTGTTTCACTCTCCTTCCTGGTGACGTTATCCTAACTGGCACGCCCTCGGGTGTTGGTGTGTTTCGAAACCCTAGAGAATTCCTACAGGTAAAATCCAAAATGAATCTTTCAATTTGAGAAAGTCTTTTTGTTACAATTTTATTGAAGATGAAGAAACGTCGCAAGAATGGGAAATCTTATTGCACTCTTTTAAAAAATTACGAATAATGAACTGTTCAAACGGACCGCACTTTCGAAAATGAGCCCAATCTCGGTAACAATGCATCTGGTCTCAATTTTTTCATCAAGATATTGGATCTCATAAATTTGTTTGTGCATATCCCTTCTTTTTCATAGATGCTATTTAGTTTCATTCTCAAAGGAATTCTGAATTTAGTACCCGCTCTTGGGCAGAGTTTGACAAAACTGAAGTGCATTTTGCCCGAAAGTCTTTAAAAAGAGTACAAAGAGTAAAAGAGTTAAAGAGTAAAAGAGAGATGTGATATATAGAGGTACATCTTAGATAATTTTCTTTGGTGCATTTCTATCGGGTATTGGCTCAGCACTTACCTCTCGCATATTAGCAAAAATAGCAAGGGGTATATTTAAGTCATTAGTTGGAGCAAAAATGTCGTAGGTAATATCACGATGGCTAAAGGAACAAAATGCGTATCTTAAATTGCGACGTCATAAGTTTCCACTGATGTTTCATTTTTTTGAAAGGAAAGCAAACCAACAGTTTTTTTTAAAAAATAAAGCATTTTCTCTACTAAAACAGGCCGGCCAAAATTCAGTACTTTTACAGTATTTTAGTACATTCCCGAGAAATTCAGTACTTCCTCGACAGAAAAATTCAGTTCTTTTTCAGTATCTCCAATTGAAGAAATTCGAGAAAATTCAAAAATTTGAATTTCTAGCTCAAAATGCGACAAAAATGACAATAAAATTAAAACAATTCCTCACCCTCCTGCGGAATTTACGCACTTTTTTAGTACTTCCGGACCGCCCTTAAAAAATCAGTACTACTATTTCCAGACTTTCCAGAAATTCTGGACTTGGGAGACACCCTTTCCACACTTCCTAAAGAGAACCGCACAAAGTTGCTAGGAGGCATTTTCATTAATTTTCCTGGAAGAGAATAAAACACTATTGGAGATTTCAATCCTTTGCAATTTAGACGCAAATTTTTCGTATTCGGGTGTCAAGTTTTGGAAAAATTGAACCATTCTTCTCCTCAATATGCTGCATAAAAATCTTGCTGCTCTGTTTCAAGAGGTAACCAACGGCTAACTCAAAAACTACCAATGTTCAAAAATTTCTGATCCTGTTCCATTTTCTGAAAGGAAAACTTTTCGTTCTTCATATTCTCTAGATAGTTTTTGTGAGTATTTTTGAATGAGTGAAGAGAAAATTTCAAAAAACTTCTAGAAAAACCGGAATAGTTCTCTTATGAAAACATAAAACTTAAGAACGGATTTCTGAGAATACGTCTGGAAATACCAATCTCTGATCATGCGAGACAGGTGCAAATTATCAATCGAGCTTAAGGAATTAGAGATGCTACGGAAACAAGTGACCTCAGAGAAAGCCTGGGATGTTGAAAACTGTACCAATAAAAACAAAAACGTTGCTAAAACTCTTTTGCCCGGTGGGCATTTACTACGCAGCATAGTCCAGCACAATTACTTTAAAACTAAATTAGACGTACTTATGCTAAAAAGAACTTTGTGCCACGCAAAGTAAGTGTGTATGGAGTTCCTCCCAGTATAAATACGTCCATTTTGAATGACATTTCCTGCTCATAGCAACATTCTCAAGTAAGATAGCTATCAAACTATTAGGAACATAATTATTATTCTCACATTGAGCTTTGCTTTTATTCTGTTCCAGCCTGGAGATGTACTAGAGAGTGAAATTTCTGAAATAGGTAAACTAAGCAATAAAATCGTGGCGTTCAGTAAGAACTGATTTAAGTTGATACCTATGTAAAAAAGAATCAAATGTACTTATGTTAAAATAGAAATTTGCTACCTGATTAACATTGTAAGTGTTTTTATAAAGTATAGTGTATCAATAAATTTAATTTCAATAAAGATTTTTTTCACTGATTTAGTCCAGTATTGTTTCTTCTTGATAAAATGTCTTCTTGTAAGACAAGACTCCTCTGCAACCAATGCCACAAAAAAAATGTCCTACTTTTTTTCACAAAAATTGATTCATTTTCATTTTTGCAAAAAGTTAATTGTGTCATGTCTGTTATTTATAAAACTTTAAGAGATCAAATCGAACGTTCAGGGCCATAGACCTGTTTGGCATGTGGAGAGCATTGGAGGGGATCTAAATGTGTAGGAAGGCAGAAAATGTAGATCTTTTTCGCTCTAACACCAACTTCTTATTCTAAAAATGTACATATTGCAGGCATTTAGTCAAACAATGAAAGATAAATAATAAAGTGGACAGTATGTCAAGGCGTTTGACAAAATGCCAAGAGGTGATAAGGCAAATTGTTGAAGGAACAGATTGAAGCTAAGTGAGCAGCAATTTGTGGACAGTGTTTGCGATAATGTACAGAGAGGAGTGGACATGACATATGAAATAACTAAGTGATGCTGAACTGTACTTCAAACACAGCATATGCTTTTTGGCAAAGACTTTGGCCATGCTACTTCACGTTTTATTGCCTTACAAAACATAATTTCTATTTCTTACTTTGCCAACAGTAATTTACATTTTTAATTTGACTATTTCCCCAAATTGTAACAGACTTCACTAATTGTCCAGAGGCCATACAGCATTTTATCAAATGCCTAGACGATTAGTCAAAAATTAAATTTGCTAATTGCCTGAGACATACCCAACCCCATATTTATCAAATTAATGTAGAGCCATTTTCATTTCAAGAAAATTTCAAGCCTCTTCAGCCAATAAGTTATATAAAATGCCTTGAGTTGAGGCTGGATGGAACGACCTTTTGCAAGACTGTGTAGTTGATGGAAAATTTTAAAGAGAAAAACAATCAGTGGAATAATTCAGCTCATGACTTTGAAAAATATGTTCAAAAGACGAAACATGAGACTAACAGCGATGGCTTGAGGTTAACAAATAAGTAATCTTTTATCTATAACAAGACAACAGTTTTATTGATATTAATGGCAACAAGGAATGTACAAAATGACAGTACAGAAAGTCAAGTTTCACAAAAAAATTGGAGTTAGGTAACTTAGTCATTTTGCCTACTGCACAAGGTTCTCTCAGAAAATTAAAATTTACGAACACACACAAACTTGAGACCTTGGAAGATATCATAAAAGTGTCACATTTTCCGGGAAAATACAGTTAACATCATTCAAAATAATAAGTGATGCACTTGAGGAGGAGGGCTACAAAATTGGATAGCCATCAGGCCTAACAACCCTTCTTGTTTTGTTAACCTGTCGTAATTTTTTTAAATTGCATCATTGCTTACTGCAAAAGTAGCGAACTTATAAGGAAGAAACCCCTATATTTAGACTTTTATTATACTGCAACTGTTATGAACCGCAATGCCACTTCATGGACAGTGAAACATTTCTTTTATCAAGAGGCTTCTAGTAATACCAGTGCGCTAATAATTCCTCATCTAATGCTACAATGCAGTAGATTCAGAATTTACTTAAATACTACAAATAATTATAATCTATGACAATTTTAAAACATTTAAAAATATTTGTCAAAAAAGAAGAGCAGAATAAATACTCAAGCAGTGAATTATTCAAAAAATTAAAATCCAACCTTGCAGATGAGATTTTACCAGTCAGGCTGCAATTTGTTTTATCTATAACTGAAGATCTAGAACTCTTTTTGAATTTTTTTCAGTCGAACTTACTACTTTTCTCTTTCTTGTATGAAAAGTTATTGTTAGTTTTGATCGCTTTAAGTGAAAAATTTATCACAGCAGATGAGCTGGCTGAAGCCAATTCTGGCAAGAAATTGACGGAAATTTTTGTAAATGGCTCCAAAAATTTACAATATTTCAAAAAGGTGAAAATTTGTAAAGGTGCAAAATTTTACCTCAAGGGTGTAAGTGAAAAAGAGATTCAGCGTTGCTGCCAAGATTGCCGCTCCCTTTTTGTCCTTATGCTTAAAAAAATTGTAGATAAAAAGCCCTTGAAAAGTAAAATTGTAAAAGGAGCCTCATGTTCATCCCTATGAGTAATGATTAAGCCTCGCCTGAGAGCTTCTTGCCTAACATTATAGCTGTAGAAGAGTTCATAGAAAAAACATTTACCTACCAGCCCTTATCTGAGGCAGATCGAATTAGAAGAAATTATTAACCTCTACCTGATATCAGCTTGAAGAAGTTGGAAAAATTTGAACACTCAAATGACAGGGTTGACACTTTTCTAATGGCTTTATGTCTTAATTTACAATAACTGACAATGAGCCAATTTTTTTACCTTTATTAAAAAAAATCATGATAATGTTCCACAGCAACGCATCTATAGAGCGAGGATTTTCAGTCAACTCAGAGTGTCTGGTTTAAAATTTGCTGTGTGAATTCCTGGTTGCTCAACGTCGAATATATGATGAAGTCTATATAGAAGGAGGAATCCCAAAAATTGAAAACTCGAAAAAGCTAATTTTTGTTGCCAGGAAAGCTTCTGCCAAGCATTGTGAGGCACTGAAGTCTAAAGCTGCAGCAAAGGCCACAAGGGAAGAAATATAACTGCATCTGACTTGGAAAAGGAGGAGGCAGCCGATGAACCCCCTGCAAAGAAATCTAAGGCGTCAGGAGAAAAACAGGCAAAGGGTAAAAATTCATCGACTTCCCAAAACGAAACACAGGTAGAAGAATCAAGCAAAAAATCAAAATCTAGGCCTAATGCTAACTATCCCAAGTGCAGCAATTCGAAAGGTTCCTCTTCACACCCAAAACAGCCATCCCAAAAACCCGTTAGCATGCCAAAACCCATTGCGAAGGACAACTCTAGCAGCTCTGGGCAAAAGCTCTTCTCCGCCAAAAATGCCTGTAAAGGATGTTTCATGGCAGTTCAGTGTTGCATTCACTTACTCTGTACACCTTTTCTCTTACAGCCATTGTGAACTCGGAGACTGTGCGTCACTTTGAATCCGTAAGAGCAGCCCATTTCCCCTGGATGGTCCTGCAGGGGTTGCTACAAGCTCACGAATTGGTAAACTTGTACTTCGCTCTACGATGGGCGATTGATGCGGCCCTCCTCGCCCCAGTGACCCTGTATAACAAGCTGCCCCGGAGAATCCTCCATGACTACCCTCATATTGTGAATTGGCAAGCTGCATCCCTATCGTACAAATTTACTTCTCACCAACTACGCCGCTATGCAGACAGAATAGACTGGTGTCTATTATTCCGCTTCGGAAAATACCAAAAAAGTAACATCGGTGGAGCATATTATCACACCTCTAGTTACAACGCCCATTAAACAGCGATATTATCCACTAAATCCGGCAATGCAGCATATTATGGATGAACAGATTCAAGCGCTTCTGGAGCGTTGATTAATTCGACCTAGCAAGAGCCCATGGTGCAGTCCGGTGGTACTAGTGAAAAAACCGAATGGGAAGTATAGATTCTGCATCGATTACCGTCAGCTAAATAAAGTGACGAAGAAAGACGCGTACCCCATGCCTTTCATCCAAGCGACCCTGGACAAACTCAAAGAAGCCAAAGTAATGAGCAAATTGGACCTAAAGGATGGATATTGGCATATTCCACTCGTGGAATCTAGTAACCTATATTCCGCATTCACAGTGCCAGGACGTGCCTTATTTGAGTGGAATTTTATGCCACAGGGGTTGCATTCTGCGCCTGCAACTTTTCAACGGCTGATCGACAACGTTTTGGGGCCAGAGTGTGACGATTTTGCCGTCAAATTTTTGGACGATATTTTCATCCTCTCGCCAAATCTGTCGACGCATAAAGAACAATTACGACTGATTTTTTGCTAAACTAAAAGAGGCAGGATTGACCCTAAACATGGATAAGTGTGATTTTGGATGCACCGAGCTGAAATATCTCGGGCATTTGAAAACCACAGATGGTATCAAACCCGAACCGTATAACGTCGAACCATCCATCGTCCTTGTCCAGTTATTACATCTAGCTACCTCTTTTGAGATTCCATACATACAGTGCTACGTACAGAAAACAACTTTCGTGAAAGGATGTGGGAAGCTGGCAGACTACACCTGGTCTTACAAAGGCGGCTTTCGAGATGAGATCGTAACGTTAAGTAAGACTCAATGTGAGCAACTCCACAAGACCAGAACTTACGACCTAGAGGGAGATCGGGAGCTGAAGGTTGAACTCGAAGACACTGAGTACACAGGTCATTACATTACGGCAGGCTCCTTAAACGCTCGTGGTGATTGTTCTGGGGCATCATACAGCTTCAACGGATATGAATATGATGATGCTGTTGCTGAAGTGCAATTGAAGGTTCGAATATCATCAGGTTCTGGACAGTACGTGAAAGAGACAGGCAAAATTTCTTTAGAATCGGGTTATGAAGCTCTATATAATGAGCGGAAGATATCATCCGCTTCAGAGACAGAGTATGCAGGTTATGGGTGTCTTGTCATGACGCCCTGGACGCAGCAACAGCATGGCATTGCCGCGGACGCCTACACCTTGCCCGATTTGTCTTTTTTCACATGGACGCCTTTACGTGGAGGCAAATCCATTATATAATGGCACTGCGTGGTATAGCCGTCCTGGATTTGTCACCGCCAGATGTGATAGAGAGCTCCCCTCGTCGCCCTCTATCCCGTTTTCTCATTACAATTCGTCTGCCCGCCGTATTGACAGCTCGAATTCATTATCTCCCTCACATCCCTGTAACTGCGCAGGCAGATCAACCCTTGGGCGCCCACTATAAAACACCGCTTAGCCGCTGCTCTGATCGCAGTTCACAGTTCAGATTTCATCCCCTTAATCACTCTAGAGTCCTTACCCCGACGCTAGTCGTCACCTTCGCCCAACCACGCACGGTTCCTCTCTCGTCCCGCCACGAACGGCTACTCTCACACGATGTCCCTCATCACGCACGAATTGCCCGACAAAGAGAGCATACGTCGCATGATAAGTTTTACTA